GTCAACTGTTGCAAAACTGCTCCAATTGCTGAATCAGATGCATCAACAGCAATACTCAGAGGAGCATTGGGGTCATGATGCATAAGCATGGTTGCGTTCGAAATGGCTTCCTTGACTTTGGAGAAAGCAAGTCTAGCCGCGTTGTCCAGAGACACGAACTTCGCAGTTCCTCGAAGTAGATCTGTGAGTGGTCTCATGACAGAGGCACAGTTAGGGATAAACCTTCGGTAATAACTTACCAGGCCATTGAAAGTGCGGAGATGTTTCACAGTGGTCGGCTCTGGATAGTTTGTGATAGCCGCCACTTTATCTCTCAATGGGCGTATACCTTTGTTGTCAATGGTATGCCCAAGGAAGCTGAGTGATTCAACTCCTATTTCACACTTCTGTAAGTTAACTGTGATGCCATGTTTTTTGAGTCTTTCGAATGCGAGGTCCAAATGTTTAAGGTGTGTTTCCTTATCTGGACTCGCAATTAGACAGTCATCGATGTAGACATGAACAAAATTCAGACCACGGAAGACGTCGTCCATAAAGCGTTGGAATGTTTGTGCTGCATTCCGAAGACCAAAAGGCATGCGCAGGAATTCAAACAGGCCAAAAGGAGTAATAATGGCTGTTTTCGCGATATCTTCTGCTGCCATAGGTATCTGGTTGTACGCTTTGACCAAGTCGATTTTCGAGAAAATGTTCATGCCGCATAAGGTTGCGGTCAAGTCGTAAACGTGGGTATAGGGTAGCAGTCCGGAGTTGTTTTGGCGTTAAGCCTTCGGTAATCACCGGTCGGACGCCAGTCGTTGCTATCCTTTTTGGGCACCATGTGCAATGGCGATGCCCAAGGACTGTTCGACGGTCTGATAATGCCCAGTTCGAGCATATGGTCGAATTCATTTTTCGCCGTTTGCAGCTTATCGGGGGCTAAACGGCGAGCTTTGGATGCCACAGGTGGACCTGTGGTTGTGACGTGATGCATAACATTGCTGGTTATGCACGGAAGAGTGTGTTTCGGTTGTTGTAACTCTGGATATTTCTCCAGAACTGCCTGGTAGGACGCGTCGCCTGATTGTTTAGTCCTAACGATGGCTAAACTCGGACCTACATAGGTGGTGCCGCCAATAGATAACTTTGTGTTGTTATCTATCAGTCGTCGACGGCGAGCATCTACGAGTAGATCGTAATGGTTCAGCAAATCTATGCCAATGATGGGCATAGAGACGTCTGCCAGGAGGAAAATCCAGTGAATAGGTTTGCGTAAACCTAAGTTGAGGTAGGCATACCGTCTCCCGAATGTCGCGATTGCCTTGCCGTTGGCTGCTTGAAGATTGAAGGATGGGTCGAGATGACGCTCCTTTGTCGTTGCTGGAAGAACGCTAACTTCTGCGCCGGTGTCGACGAGGTAGCGGACTTTCGTTTTAATGTCGGTGACGTAGAGCAAACGGCTTTTTCCGCCGGCTACGGTTGCCGTGAGCACGTGCCGGCGTGACCGTTTCCCGAGTTTGGTCCTTCTTAAAACGGCATGGTTTACGACATTTTCTGGCTTCATCCCCGTAAGTGTTATGAAACCAGCACCATTCAGGGTTTTCCACCCTGTTGGGTTTCGTTTTAGGGCTACCACGCGACTTGCTGCGATGCGCCAAGGTGCGTTTCTGTGAAGTGCTACGTGATCTAGGACTTCGAGATCGTAGCAACCGTTTCACAGAGTTGCACAACTTGGTCACCTCCGAATCCTGGCGCTCTGGTTTGTCGCAGATAGAATATACGTTGGAGACGGGTCTGCTGGATATCTCCAGTATTTTATCTGCTGAGGCTGCCAGGTCGTCGAGTGGGACTGACTGGAGTGTCACCAACACGGTTTGCACCGGTTGTGGTAGTTTCGAGAGAAATAGTTCTCGGAAGAAACCATCGTCAAATGTTCGTGCACCGATTACTTCTCGCATGCGTGCGAGGACTTCAGTAGCTGAGTGGCTGCCTAGCTCGATGTTACGAAGCAATTCGTCTAGACGTTGGCGATCTGTGAGATCGCTTTTCTTCAAGAGTGCGGCCTTTAGAAGTGCATAAGGGTCACTTACTTCAGGATTAAACATGTTTGCTGTAACAAACCTGTTTAATTCTCGCGGTAGTGAACGTATGACAGCAAGAAATCGAGATGAGGATCTGAGACACCCTGTTCTCGAAAATCGGCCTCGGCATACAGAAACCATGTTTCTGCATTGTCTGGCCAATATGGCACGAGTTGGATCGTGTTCGAAGTCGGCTTAATACGAATAAGCTTGGGAGTGTGGTCGGACATGAGAAAGTGTAGTAAATGGATATATAAATGTTATCGAAATGAAAACAATAAACAAATATAAAATGGAACAGGCTCACCAATTCAATACTTGTTATTGGTCGGGATATGTGATCACGTCGGGCTCACCAATTTAGGATTTGTCCTGGTGCGAACTTGACAGACGCAAAGACCAATCACTAATTATTCGAACTTGTTATATACCCACGAATACGAGACCAAGGAAGAACACGATAGCGTAGTCGGATGGAATAGTATATTTGGATGGTTATGCCAAAATACCGATGCGTTCCAACTAACTGGCTAGAGAGTCGAATACGAGCAATGCAACGTAACACGACAGCGTGCCAAATGGCGAGGATGCTTGACCGGGTGCCTTCAGCTTAGCGAGTCCAGTTAAACTATCAAGGTCAGCATCAATGTCGAAGTCGTCAAACCCTAGGCTATTGATTTTGGGGAAGTGTATGACGCTACACGTGTAATGCTATTACTGCGTCAGGAGTTTTTCAAGAAAAGAGGCGTAGAGGCCAAAGAACCATCACTCACTACTTTAACACCATTGAATTTTAAGTTTTAGATATTGGGCATTCGAATTTTTCCTATAAGGATTTTCCTAATGAGAAAAATTCCTTCAAATAGATAGTCACTACATCCAAAGCTATAAGCAGGAAAAACGTAGACGTTTTCGACCACTGAAGGAGCATAACCCAAGGAAAAGAAGCAAGCTTCTAGACCTAGAAGCAAGAGCTCAAAAACTACAAGTTCCCTCCACTTAGACTATTGATGTTGGATGTTGTTGAATGACTACAGAGGTCTAGTTTTAAACTTTTGCCGCCCTTGAAGTGGCTGAACAAGCCAATCAGAATTGGGAGTTCGGTGATTTATCGGGGTTTTTCAACCCTAGCGCTGGATCTGGTATATGGCATCACGGTAACACTTGACATCGTAGCAAGTTTAGCAATGAATGTTTCAGTTGAAAAATCTGAATTCGTATGTTGTATACATATGTATGTGGCCATTCTAAACCTAGCACGTACTCCAATAAGACAGACGTAGAACTCAAGGGACCATCGTTCACTGATTCTAAAACACTAAGTTTTAAGTTTATAAATAAATAACTAACTAACTAAATAAATAAATATATATATGCATGCCTCAAATTGTCAGGTTTCTTGTCACTAAGGTTGCTTTCGATCTTTTGGAGAGAATATATATATATATATATATATATATATATATATATATATATATATATATTAGACTGACGTGTCCCTGGAAATTTTTTGACGTGTTACAAGACCCTATACAAGGACATTTCACATAGAATGGTGGGATGCAACCACCTCTCACTGTCTCTTGTTCCATACCAACGGTGAGAGTAGGTAGAGCTATCCGATTTTGCCATTCCTCCTTGACTTTGTCATCGATGACACCAACGAAGCCCTGAGATTGTGTAATGCGGTCATAAATTTAACGGTAGACGTAGGACTTTCCGACCTTGAGTATGTAAACGTTATTGTACGACAATATACAGGCTACTCAGGTCGCACTTAACCAGTTGGTGATCAGTGTCTGAAAGTGTGATACATGTTTTACACTGGTGAAGTGTGGAAGGCCCATACAAGATTGGAAAGAGTTCATGTTTACACTTAATCTGAACGTCGAAGAGTCGGAGTAGTAAAGCTTGTGCCTGGCTAGTCGTATTTTCATCCGTATATCAGAATTCAGGAGGACACACCAGACTAGGTTTTCTTAAGCAGTAACGTGACGCCGGCCGGAGTGACTGAAAGATTAGACGTCTTACTCATCGGTGTGACATTTGTGGTTTATAGCCACGAAGCCTTTCTCTGCCAGCTAAGCATTTTCGACAGCTCCGCGTGTTCTTTCATCGTTGTCTCCTTATGATTGTTAGCATCCTATCAGAATACCATGTAAGCAATTCTGAAGTGTAGTGGTACGTGTTTGAGCGTAATGGAGATCGTCATTTTTTGATTGAGTGAAGCCACCTTTAAACACCAGCTTCAGTGGCTTGGATGTGTTATGGGTGACGTCCCAGTAGCTCCCATACCATTCTTTGTTTGCGAGCCATGAGACTGAGTGGTAGAATTGGAGCTGTCCAGTCTATGTCATGGTGTCGTTAGATGATGGACAGTCGTATTGGGTCAGCATCTGTTGATGCCTCATGACTTCTTGCACAGGTTACGAAAAGCCATGCAGCTCACTGGCCAGTGATGATAGGATATATGACCCAGAATCGAAACCAGTGGTGATCATGTTCCAGCCTTCTTGTTCCTTCTGTTATGGAAATTGTAAAACAAAGTAGTGAATGGTTCTTCGAATGCATCTCTGAGATTACTTCTTCAGCAACCCATTTCGGTTTCTTCCTCGCTTACATCATTTTTAAGTTTTATTAGTGCTTTTGTATTTTATATAGCATATTTTTTGGTGCCCATGTCGTATTAAGTTTGTTTAAAAACTGAAGTTTTAGCAAGTAGTGTCTTCTTAGAAAATCGTTGACTTAGTAAGAATCGTTGGAAAAAAAATTGTCAAATGTGAAGATTTCGCTTATCGATCTAAACACTAGACTTTCAATCACTCGTTTTTGGGTTCAAATCCCATTTTATCTGCTTTGGTTTGGGTGACTGGGTAGCATTGAAGACACTTATAAAGTAAGCGTTTGATAGCCCAGCACATAAATCTCTGTCTGGTCTAGCCGCATTATTGTTATTTTATATTATACTTCATGCATGTTTGTTGCACCTGTTATTCTTAACTTACATTTTCATGTCTTTTTTTCACCATATGTTCTTCATATATTCTAGGCTTGTCTGAATTTCATAGTTCGTACATAAAATGTTAATCTTCAAAATAATGCTGGGATTGAAGAAAACATTTATGTAAGGGACATTATCGTATTCAGTGTCACACCCTGTTGACCTCACCAGCAGTCGTTATCGAACACTCAGATGGATGATGCTCGTACCATCCCTTCGGAAGTAGTCACCAACTGACTCTTGAACCTGGTCAGTTGTCTACTAACCGTGCAGAAAGTAAGGACTGGAATGCCTGGGTACCACTGTCTAACGGCCGTGGCAAGAGGTTTGATATTAGTAGGGTGATGAGCGCAACATACGGCTGGCCTTAGATAGATACCTGGGACTTTGGAGCCTTCTCCGCTGGTAGGAGTGCATAGCCAGTCATGCATGTGCACCTAATTAGAAACCATTCTCATGGTCGGTGATGTTTGGTTGACTTGGTAAACCCGGAAAGTCTAGAAAACCAAAACGGCTACAGCACGCTACACATTATTTTCTGTTTTTTAATCTTCATTCCACGTAGTTAGTAATTATAGCCTCCACAGGGTTAGACAAAGTACAGCTGCTACAATTTGTTGGTTTAGCAGAAGAGTGTTGATGCTCTTTTATCTGTTGTCATGTTTTCATAACTTGTAAGTTTTTCCCTTTTGCAATGCATAACGAGTGATTTTTCCCTTAAAACTACTACTTTAGATTTCTTAAAAACGCAACAATCTATTTATACTGATGAAATGGTGTATAAAAGTTTAGAAAGTGTATGGCAGCACTGTCCAGTTACTGCCTTGTCATATATCACTAGAAGTGTATTAGCCGTCGGCTCTGCTAATATATTAAGCATATTCGATATATACGAAAAGTCAATGTTGTGTAAATACTTATTGAAGCGTTTCGCTGTTATACACAGAGTGGAAGCAATACCAGGTAGGCATTTTTCTCTCATTTTACCTGTCTTATCATTATTGTTATTTGTTATAGACTTGATTTCCAATAATTTTATTTTATGTCTATGTGGAAACCGGTTTATCACCGTGCTCAGATTCAATTTATCATCTTCCAGTTTACTACTTACCTTTGAAGATTACCAGTGTGATAATGTGATACACTCTACAGTCTATTCAAACGAAGTATCATTTTACTTACAGACTCTTACGAGTCATGGTACATTAAAATTGATCAAATCATCGCCATATAACGCTGAAAACTTCACCAATATAGTCAGTGCTTCAGTTCAACTTGAAACAAGTGTTTGGTAAGTCATTTGAAATTTGTTTTTGATGTTATTTTAGTTACACAGGTCAAATAGTTCATTTCAAATCATCATTATCGTCATCGATTAGTAGAACTTTAGTATTCTGTGGGTCTACATTCGGAAAAATCCATATCTATGATATTTTAAACGAGGATTCATTAAAGTGTTCTCTGGCTCCAAGCTTAACTTTATGTGTGCAGAAGGTAATGCAAATGAGTACAGCGAAGCATTTACTCGTAACACATTTCAAAATTGCATAAAATGTCTCAACTTTGTCACTCTAAAAAAGGGTGTGATTTTTTCTATTGATTTTTGTCATTTAGCCGTTGATGAATCATCATCTACAGGATCATTTCGTTTAGTCTCCTGTGCTGAGGATCGTAGTATTGCTGTCTGGTCAGTGCCAGCTGAATCCATTGTGAACGCGAACAATGTACACCACAGTCAATCGAACAACTGGCAGTTAATGTATCATTTGAAGGCAGGCAGTATTCATGAAGGTAGTGTGATATTTGAATCTAGAATATGGTGTGTTCGTGTGGGTGATTGGGGAATATTAGCCACTGGAGAGGTTAGTATTCATACTTTTTGTGTTGTTATGGATATAAATTAGAAAAATCCAGCTTATTTATTTTCATTTTCAGTCATTTCACGAAGTACTAACTTTTGACAATAAGTTAGTTAATGCGGTTGTACAAGTTATAAATTTGTGCATTATGCTTCACTATAATATATGCTGTGGTATTTCAATCAACAGGTTTCGGAAGAATGAGTCTCATTTCATTCGTACTTCAATATTCGACAGTTAATTTCTGATATAGGTTGGCGTTTATCCAGTGTTCGTTCTTAAACTGAACGTAACACTTCACCCGTCTAGTTGATAGTGATAATTGTTAAGTGTTGTCTGAGCTCTGATGTTTCTTCTCAGGGGTTTCATAACCAAGCTAGAGGACTTCATCAACACTTCTTAAAGAAGTGACGTATTTTTGAGTTACATGCATGAATGTCATCACAAGACATTTGTCGACCTTGAGAGTTATTAGATTATGGATAACCATGATTTTCCTACCCCTTTTACAGCCTAGGCTTTCGTCACATTATGAATACTGTGACCATTTAACCTTGGCTATTAACTTATTCGGTCGTGATTTACTTGATTAGTTTCTAGTTGGTTGACCCTTTTGTAGCAATCTGTATATGCGTCTGCGTCCATGTGGCTGTCGATTGACATTTCATTCCAGTACTACGCTTTCTGAATTTCTGTTTTAGTTTTTCTACGTTATTTCAGCCAAAGTAGTAGTTGTGCTTGCTGATGTGTATCGACGGCGGATGCTCAGTCACTGCGCTATCGCAGAACAGCACATTTTATAGTAGTTATTCTAAAACCAAACACGTCCTCATATAATTTTGGTAGCTAATTAGTTGGTTATATAGTAATGATGGATACAAGCAATAACGCTATAATTAGTTGGTTGTTGGTAATAGTTGGGGATTACTTTAGCGTTGTCACTTTCTGTATTTCTTCATTCGAGTAACTGAGCACAGCACTTACAATAACTCCCCTTCCTCCTTTGATGTTGGGCAGTGCTGTTTGATGATAGTAACTCTGCGCTGACACTTTAGAAAGTTATACTGTTTCGAAAATTAATGAAAGTAGGATAAATCTGACTATTAAAGCATATATCGGTGACAAATGACCACATGTTTGTAATAAAACATGAATGTCGCCGGATGAGTATCGAAAGCATTCTGGGTCTGGCACCACTAACTGATCCATAAGCGGGTCGAAAGTGTTGTTTACTTGGAGTATAGAGTTCACAGAAGCGACGTGATTATGAAGTTACACTTATTAAAGTAATATAGCTGTCTGTCTTTAATACTGGCTCACTGCTCATCCAAAGAAAACTGACCAATTATGTAGAAGTAGATTAGGGAAAAGATAAAGTTAATCATTCTGAGACATCGTTCCCACTCTTGAAACCCACAGACTGATAGTCTCAGCTGAATTTCTCAAAGTACTTACATCACTGATTATTCTAATTTGTAGGCAACGAGAAAAGTATACCTTAGACAACCACAAAGTGGTCAGTGTATCTGATATCGTGTTTGGAATCCTAGGGTATATGGTCATCTAACGCATAACGTACTAGAGAACAACAGACCGGAGAAAACTAAGCAGTTTTCAGACCTGAATAAGAATGCGTCGTTCAGATCTTCATCCTTTGACAAACTTCAGATCAAAAGCATACTAACCTGTCTCCTGCATTTGCCATAACTCTTGACCTGAGGATGGGATTCAACTCCGTCAATCGGAGTGTTATGACATTCTCACTGTGGAACGAGTAACGATGAAGTATATTATGCCAATTGAGGCTCGCCATTTGAACCCACACAGTTATATAAAGGCTTATAAACAGACAGACGGACAAAGTCAGCGTAAAACTTCGCACACAAGTGCATCAACTTCACAGTTGTATACAGAGATCGGGTGGTTAGAAAACGAGTGATGTCAAAGTAGACAAAGCTGTGTGGTAGAATGAACAGTTAGAAGAATATTCAGGCTTTAGAAGACGTCGAAGAGCTCCATTGTGACTGATTTTCAGCGATTTCACCGATATTCCTCAAGCGCTCATTTCTGTCGTTTTGTGAATTCCAACCAGAGAGTCTACATCCCCAACACGACTCAGAACAGTTGTCTGGGACTTGGTGGACTGATGCAACGTCTTGGTCTGGTCACAGTCACCTCCAGTCCGATTCTCACCTAATCTAACTTTCTCTCGGATGGTACGTCGATGTAGGTGGTGGGTCAGCATACCCATTACATGCCCAAGCCATCTCATTCGGTTATTGTTCATAACTTCATCAATCGACTTGCCTATCTTGCCTAGTACCATTCACCTGCCCTTCACTCCTTAAGCGGTGATTCCACCAAACATGAGAAATGCTGTGAAAACATCTGTGGTCGAAACCCTGTAACTACTTCAAGTATTCTGCTTTTTACGGCCGTGTCTCACAGCTGCATAACAAGACAGAACAGACTGCAGCGTAGTATGCCTGGAAAAAAGATAGTGCTTTGTGCAACCGCAGAGCCGATGAAGCATCTGCCTGAGGCCTGTCACACAGCCTTTCACGGGTTGTTTTGAGATTTGATTTTCCTAACGCCGGCAAGTGGAATCCCATACCGCTGGCACTGGAGGACTGCGGTACAGGAAGGAGTGCACTATCTTTGAGACTGACGTTTTCTAACCCTCGCGGCAGAGAAGGCAGCATCAGCGTAGCACTGATAGTCATTCAAGGGAAACACCTTACTGGTGTCACATCCCATCGAGCCAGAAGTACTTTTTTGCTGTCATAGTGTATCAATTTGCAGTACAACAGTAGCTGCTTTTCTTCTTACCACTGTCCAACAGATATTTCTGGGATGTTAGGACCTTGAGGGAACAAGCGTCCCAACCAGTGTACCTCGCTGAGTCACTATGATATAGAAAGGCGACCACCAAGTCAAGGTAGCAGCTATCGGTCGGGATAACGATGGGTGTGATGATATCCGTGTCGGTTGTGTATCGTGAAATAGTTTGGAAGATGCTCTGATGGATATCTGGTAATGCGAAGATGTGGCTCACGGGGTTGGGAATTCGACTTTCAAACAAAGGGTGCCGAGTTGCGTCCCTGATCCACCTACTAGGCAGTCGAGTAACATCACATAAGCCTTCACACAATAAGTTTACCTTAGTGCCTAGTACATATGCATGTACCATCTTGAGCTAGGTTATTGGTAGTGTTATTAGTGTTCAAGGCATGCCAGCAGGATAGCTTGAATAGACTGAAAACTTCTGTGCTGCTAAGACTAAACTGAGGGTTATCAGTTGTATTAAATAAGCTACCCTCATATGTTAATAGTAGTCTGTTGTCATAAGTAGTATTCCATATGTTGTTAAGAATAGTTAGAAATCAGTGTATTCACCACTTAGATCATTCTTAAAGTTATGTTAGCATAATTCATAGCTACTAGTATATTCTAAAGTGTACACTTAGACATTATATCCCAATGAAAGCACCAATTATTATTCATTTACACTAAGCTTAATACGATAATTAATCACTTCTCAGTTCACTAATTTCTTGGTTTGGTTGTATCAGGTATTTATATTAATCGGTCACTGGAGAGCAATCAATCTCATGTTATCAAGTCCTGATTATGACTCAAATTCTATCAATCATTTTGCAATGTGGCTACCTAGCTGAGAGGCTCATCATAGTGGTAGATTTTGATGGATGTCAGTTGGTTAAAAGGAATCAGTAGGAAGCCCTGCTCTACATAGATTTCGCGCTTGTTGACAAGACGTATCTGCAACCGTGAAGGAACTGGCGTCCCCCTCCCAAATTCTACTCTACTTATTATCTTATTCTTCTCAAACAAGTTTTGTACAACTCATCTATCTAACTATCGCTTTAGTTTTAACATAACTTTCTTATTTCGAAGCCTAAACTACTCTAAGATTATGTCACAATTCTTTATTATTATGCTTTCTAGGATTGTCGCATCGTTTATTATCAATGGGAGAAAATAGCGCAGCCTTTTGTGATGCGAAATATTCACCGTGGACAAAATGTTTGGTGTTGCAGTGTTTGGAGTGAAAATATTGGAGATAGTAAATCCGTTTTTCTAGTAAGTTGTTTATTTACTCCCGTAAATAAGTGAACTGTTAAGTAGATACACTTTTATAGTTAACAATATTTATAGGCAAGGCTTTTGAATGATATTTTAGTTATCATCTTCACAGTGTGAACTGCATTTTCAACAACTGCAACATTCACTACACTAATTTCCAGCTATAAGTTTTTAGGAAGTATATATCACTAAGTTTCTGGTGCTATACTTCTAGTCACCACTGGTATTATTATTATTACTATTATCATTGTAAGGTAATACTCATCACAGACTGACATAAGTTGGGGAAGCATTGAAAACCTGGCAGCACTGGGCATCTGTTCAGTACTTAGTAGTACGCATCTCCGACCTCATCAGAGATGGAACCCAGGATCTTCAGGTCTCGCGGCGATTTCGTTAACCATTCAACCATTGAATTGAAGTTCAGTGACTCACACGCCCCCTATGAACCGTGGAGGTTATAAGTTTGACCCATGAAGAGGTCGTGTGTGCGTACTGCATAGACCTCAAACTACATTATTATTATTGTTATTATTATTATTATTATTATTATTATTATTATTATTATTTAGGAGTAGTATTCATCATGGACTGACATTAGTTGGGGAACCATTGAAAATCTGGGAGCACTGGTCAATCAGTCGGAAGTGAAGTGGATGCTAACTGAAGACCTTGGGTGACAGTCGCGCTATGTTGTGAATTGACAGGAGTTGAAAATTGTGAATCACTGGAAACCTACCCAGTGGCTGAGTGGTTAACGCGTTCACCGTGAAACGTGAAGGTCCTGGGTTCGATCCCTAGCCGGGTCGTGGGTGCATACTGCTAAGAAGTCTCACACTAGGACGAAACGGCTGTCCAGTGCTCCCAGATTTTCAATGGCTCCCCAACTGATGTCAATCCATGATGAATACTACTTCTAAATTAAAAATCCCCATTCATCTCAAAAATACATTACTGTTATTACTATTATCATTACTACGTGTTAAGTATGCCTAGTCGCTGAGTGCCTCGTCACACGGTGTTGGCTGAAGTAGGTTCAGACTGGAAAAACGCTCGACATGGCCACACTAAAACATGCCACCACTGTATGAAGTCTCTGACTCTTGCTGTCAGCCATGTCGGACAATGCAGACTAGGTGGTTAGGGTCCACGAGACAAGAGGAACCAGTGGTTGGAGACTGACTCTAGGTGATCACATGGCTCAGAATCCATGTCAGTGGTGCAGATGTATACACACATTATCATCATCTTAATGAAGCTATACCGAATCTCACCACTTCCTCATTCTTCCTTTCTTTCTCCCCTACTTTATATTTCTTTTGACTGCATTCTCTTATCTTCATCTTGCACCTCACTGCCTTCTTACTGGGTGTACTGAGATGGGCTGTGGCGACTCGGACCATTACGCGGTAATACCTGGTCCTATGTTGATTGGATGAATAAATTATTATCGCTATTATATCATATGTAATTGTATTGTGTAAGACGATATTGGTTTAAGTTGTTGATCACAGTTTTATCACATAAGTAGTGACTCAGTTGTAGTGGTGTTACCAGCCACCTCTCTTAAAGAGGAATGTCATTATCATGAATACCAACATATTACTAGGCATTACAATATAGTGATCAAAGTTGTCACACTTCTTATCAGCAAGTTAAGCAACAAAAGAATATGATGTCAGAAGTATAAATAACGAAGAATCATTCAGAAGAATGTAGTAAACGAGAGGAAGGAGGAATAGGAAAGTACTGAATATAGCGGTTAAGATGAAGCTGAAGTGGAGATACATGTGCACCAGTGACGTCGATTCCGAGCCATATCATGTCTACAGTCTCCGACTATTGGTTTCTATTGTCACATGGACCGCAACTGGCTAGTCTGCACTTACCAACACTACTTAAACCAACAGTCAAGGGCTTCTTGCATTGGTGTCAATTTTTAGTCTGTCCACCTCTAACCGTTTTCCAGGCTGAACATCTACTTCACTCTATATTATGCAATGAGGGAGACGGTGATTGGGCATACGTAGCACATATCCCAGCCACCTCAGTCAATGAAGGTTCAGGACCTTATCAATTGACTTTCTTCTCGCTAAAACTCTACACCGGACTCACTTCTGCGTTACTGACATGGTGACACCACGACTTATGCTAAGAGCGCAAGTGAATTGGTAAATGTGCTCAACCAATTCGCTTCATATTGTTAGAAAAGGTATTGACCAGCGGTCCTGGAGCAACAATTTACATTTGGGTGGCGAGAAACATCCCAAATGTTTTCAAATTGACACCTAAGGTGTCTTGTTAGCGTCTTCACCTAATACAACTATGTCATCTGTGTATTCCTGTGATAAGATCAACCCCTCTATAAGGAGATGCATAGTAAAATTAAATAAGAATGGAGAGAGTGGACGTCATTGACGGACACACAACTGACCTAACAACTCACTACAGACTCTAATACAGCGTCATATGTTCGAGTAAAGAGCTTTTAACGCAGTTGTTGGTAATAACTGGGAATCCTACTAAACAGAGATAACGGGTGTATGTAATGTAGACGCTCAGTCTCTATTCTCATCAACGCACAAGATTATCAAAAGTAGCAGTAGATTGGAAGAAAAATCTATGATTATTATATCCCTTGGTTTCCTGGTGGAACATATGGCTTCAGTAGCACGTTTTCATTCCACTCTCTTCTCTGCAGTCTTTTCAACCTGGCTCCACGCCTCCTCACAAGCTTTCATTTCTTCCTCACACGATCTCCTCCATGTCACCCTCGCCTCGAACGCCGAACTCATCGTTTCCCCTTCGGATTCCACTCGAGGGCCTGGCCTAACCCGGTGCGTGATATTCCCAAATGGTCTTCTCATTGTGTGCCCAATCCAATCCAATATATCTCCACTTTCTTCTTCTGTATATTTGTTGAGTGACAGGTTCTTGGTTGGTTCGTTGCCAGCCCTAGTGAGTTCGTTGTTGCTTATTCTTATTATTCTGTCACTGACTTGCTATTAGTGTTGAGAATCTGGATGTTGTTCAGGCTTTATGCTGAGTGCAGTGCAGTGCAGTGGAATAGATCTCTACACTGATTATTTCAGATTAATGAAGGCCTGTGTTGCTGTCTTTCCGATCCTGGATATGACTCCCTGATTTGTGCCGCCTTTATCACCTGTGGTTGAAAGGATGCTGCCTAGGTAGGTAAGTGAGAGAGACAACTTGGTTTAGATTTCTCCCGTTGATATTGATTAGTGCTTGTTGTTGTTGTTGATTGGTTATCTTCATCACTTTTGTCTTCTCCGTGTTCACCTGAAGGAAGTGCCGTCTTCGTTGCCTCTCCTCGCCTTTCCTCTCCTGCCAACTTGTTAGTTTTCGTTTATAGATCTTCGAGTTTATGCGACATTAGACACAAATCCTCATCGGCGAAATCAAAATCTTCTAGGGTATTTTTATCGGTCAAACAGCGTATGCTCATCTTCTCCCTCATGGTTTGTTGCACGATCCAGTCTACCACTAAAACCGTATTGTTGAAGCAGTTGCCAAACTACTTCTTGGTCGACACTGTCGAAGACCTTTCAAAAATCGATGAAGTTAAGGTAAAAATCCAGTTGATTGGACTGCTATTCTATGCTGTGCTTTATGATGATGCGTAGAGTAGCGTTGCAATTTTATCCGCATATGATTTGTTTTTCTTGAATCTAGCCAGCCTGTTCTGATTGTAGTTTTGAATCTAGAGCATTTTTTAGTCTCTCCAGAAGTTTCATGAGACAACTGAAGCTCTGAGATTAGATATGATTTAAAATTGGTCACAGTTTTACACATCTATCCATAATCTTATTCTTTCATCCCCTAGTTTCTTTATTCATGACTTCCCTTTACTGTATTGCTGTCAATTGTAACACCTGTACTAGGTTTTATGTTGTGTTAATGTCTATCTGAACTCTTTTGTGTTGTCATTTTCTTTCATACTAATGTGATAGTCAATTGTTATTAGTATTCCTTTTGTTTTGTTTTTGCTTTCATTGAATATTTTCAGGCTACTGGTGGAAATGATGGTGGAGTGTACGTGCGTGAACTTACCAATTATCCTCCTCAGTCTAATGAATCTGAATGTGTAATTCTACCATGTCATGAAGGCAAATTGGATAATAATACACAAATGATGATGAATTCATTGAAAGGAGAGATGGTATGTTTTTCTTGGGTTGTCACAGCTTGTGTCCTGTTATATGAAAAACGAAGTTCACTCAACTACCTTGTACACACTAGTAGTGGTGCAATGAACCATACCTATTGAGTGAAGGCTAGTGATAATACCTGGCTGATCAAACTTCGGTAGGTGGAGCGTGGTTGGAACCCGTAATAGTCATTTCTTTGAACCACCGAGTCACAGTTCCACTTTCTGTTGTATATTTTACTCAGGAATTAAATTATGATGCTTTTTTTTTATCCGGTCAGTGTATTGGTTGAAGCCCATTTTGCTTAGTTCCATCTGGATAGCCGATATGACATCATCAAGTTTCATGTAGTAAACGCAGATTGCCGCTATATAAACACCTTCCCAAATGACAATGTCTGGGTATTCGCTAATTGACGAAGGTAGAAGAATGCAGACAATTAGATTTTAAACCAGTGGCTCAATGGTATCATCATCCAAATCAACATAGGACCAGGCATTACTGCGTAACGGTCCGAGTTGCTACACCTCATCTCATATCAGTACATCAAGTAACAAAGGCAGTGAGGTGCAAGATGAAGATAAGAGAATGCAGTCCGAAGAAATATAAAGTACGAGAAGAAAGAAAGGAAGAATGAGGAAGTGGTGAGATTCGGTATAGCTTCATTAAGATGAGGATAATGTGTGTGTGTATACATCTGCACCACTGACATCAGTTCTGAGCCATGTGATCACCTAGAGTCAGTCTCCAAACATTAGTTTCTCTTGTCCCTTGGATCCTAACCACCTAGTCTGCATCGTCCGACATGGCTGAAAGCAAGAGTCAGAGACTTCATACAGTGGTGGCATGTTTTAGTGTGACCATGTCGAGCGTTTTTCCAGTCTGAAGCTAATTTGGCCAAGATTGTGTGACGAGGCAATCGTTGACGAGGCATAGGCAGGCATATGTAGTACGTGTCGCAACCATGTGAATCGATGAAGGTTCATAACGTCGTCAAGTGGTATACCTCTACTCCTTAGAACTGTACAGCTGACTTGTGTGTTACTGACGTGGTGCGGTGACACCACGGAATACGGTCTATACTTCGAAGGCGATGGTAGTGGAACACTTGAAGCCAGCGTTCTCATGTATTCCACGTTGAATGGTCATGTTTGACAGGCATAGAGTAGAATAGAGTGGAGTGTTGTGCAGGTGGAGTACATGCGACCCTTACTAGACAATGGGATGTGATGGTGGTGCCATAGGTGGCAGAGGTTGGTGAAAGCCGACTAAGGTTTATGTATTTGTGCAGAGATTGAATCGGCCACTGAGGCAGTGGGGCAGGGCTGATCGTACTTGCCAGGTAAGTGAAGTGGTCGACACACTGAATGACTACACTGTGTATTGTTATCCGGGATGGGGCAGTGTTGAGGATGAATCATGTAGCAATAATTTGCATTTTGGTGATGAGGAATGGAGACATTGCTAAAGATTGTGAAATTGCCACTGAGAGTGTTGAGTAGACTGTGGATGTTGTGAGCGTCTTCAGGTAACAGGCGTATGTTATGTGTGTGTTGTAGGTGTAAGGAAGATTGTCGTGTGATTAGATGAAGGTCTGTGTAATGATTTGACGAGAGGGAGACTTCCATAAGAAGAGTGTGTGTGTGTGATGAAATTGGATAAGAATGGATAGAGTGGGAAGGTAAGGTTTAATGGACAGCACTGAAGGAGGATAGGTGGGTGGACATGTCACCATATGGTGTAAGATGCCCACAAGTGTTTGAGTAGAGAGCCTTGAAGAAGGTGTTGATGTATTGATTAGGTACACCTTTGAGTGGGAGAGATTGGCGTGCGACTTGTCGATCAGCGGAGTCGAATGCTGCCATCCTCAGGTGGAGAAATACAGCTATTTTTGGTCGTCGGTAGGCATGTTTGTGTTCGAGAACCTGGAGCAGTGTGAATGTTTGTTCGATACACCCACGTGTGGGTCTAAAGCTTGCCTGGTTTCCTCGGGCTTGTTGTTTCCGAGCTCGACTCAGATGTCGAAGTATTATAGAAGCTGGTATCTTGGACACTATGTTGTTGAGACTGACTCCTCTGTGGTTATCACAAGAGGACTTCTTAGCTTTCTTAAAGACTGAGATAATGAGTGATTTGGACCAGACCAATGAGAGGGGATTGTATTTGATTCCTATATAGTAGTTAACACTTGCGTTAACCTTACCACCATGCTTATATACCTCAGTGGGTAGTTTGACTAGTCTTGCTGCCATTCTTCGTTTCAGGTAAGCTACTGTTTTCTTGACTTGTGTTAGTGTTTGGAGGTCTATCTCAATTTTCGATTCAGAATCCGACCGAAAAACGGGCATGGTAGCTGGAGGCGAGTTAAACTGTTCCTGGAAGTGTTCTACCCATCGTTCGAGTCGTCTCCTCTGCCAGTGAATCGGAGATCCGTCCTCCGCTATGGTCTCACCGTTGTTGACATTTCCCTCCCCCCAAGTTTCCTTAATAAGTCTAAATAGCTGTGTACTGTGTGTAGGGTGTTGGTCTTAAAGCCTGAATATATTGAGTTTGATCTTTGGTCGGGTCGTGGGTGCACACTGCTCAAGAGTCCCCCACTAGAACGAAACAGGTGCATAGTGCTCTTGGGTTCTCACCAGTTTTCCAGTTCATGTTAATCTGTGATGAATTAGTGTGGAAATAGAGACTTGTCGAGAGCTAAATCACAATTCAGTAACTAGCTTCCATAATGTGAGACAGTTCAAAGAATGTAGTGCAGTTCAACAGTGAAAAATTAAAGTGGTATGGTAGAGTTATACACTACAAAGAGGGAACCTGTAATAGAGTAATCAAGGCATGAAAGAAAACAGCTTCCACAGGTGAAATCTTTACACAGATGAAGTTCGTTGTAAGTCTAATGACTGAATAAACTTCTTTTTTATGCAATATGTGTGCTTTAAAAATATGGATTGGCATGACATCTGTAGTTTGAAAAAATTGTATTCACTCAGCATTCGTAAGATCCTCAAATATTCTGTAGATAATACTGAAGTTGGGCTGTCTATAGAAAGACAGATAGAACCAACATAGAACCTCGCATACAGTTGCACTGGCTCTAGTTGCCACACTTCACAGAAGTACAAAGAGAACAGGTGGATAGAACAAGAGCGATATCAAAGTGGATAAAGTTATGTGAAGATAAAGGTTAGCGTGAATATTTAAATGTCAAGGAGTGAATACATTTTCACCATTGTGACCACTTTTCAGCTATGTCACCAAGTGTCTTCAATCGCTGATTCCTTTCGTCTTGGAGACCCTAACCAGGTAGTCTACATCCCCCACACGACTTAAAACAGTAGTCAGGCGCTTTATGGATCGGTATCGGGTCTTGGTCTAGCTACCTTGAACCCTTTTCTAACCTAATCTAGCTTCCCCTAGGCGGACACCTGGTCTCTGGAATCGATCAAATGTTCAAAAATCGAATCATGAAATGATTTCTTTTCTCTCTTATAAAACCAATTTGTTCTAGGTAAATAAGTGAAGTAGGTTTAGCATGGAAGTGATAGTCTAAATATAAATGAAGATGATAATGATGTGAGATTACGACTAGTGAATCTACTATTAGTTTTTTAAAATAATCAGTACGCTTATGTATCACAATGAGAGGTACTCACTCATTGTGTTTTATCTTATCAAAAATACTTTACCATATCAAATCAAAGAACTCTGGATATTATTCAAGTTAACTATTACTGAGTTCAATTCAGCTAATCAACTATACTCTTGTTCATTCATTAGACAATGAACTACATGTATTGTATACTGACTAGTAATACTGTCTGGCTGTAGCTTACTGCTTCAGGCAGCTAACATTCAACCAGTAGTAGTGGGTCAAGGGTTCGAACACTGATCCACCTTCTGAGGTGGCCAAGTAGTATCTTTAGACCTCATACCATAGATGTAGTTCACTGCATACTGCACAATTTCCACATGGTTGCTGAATGAATTTCGATACAATTTCAACTTGACCATCCACAACCTCGATAGGTAGGATGGGGTTCGAACCTGAGATCATCTGACTGAACGTTGACTAGTTTCCACTTCAACTGTATGAAGGGTATATAATGGAATATGTAGTTTTACTTGACGATATTAGACCAATTGGCTATTCAGGTTGGTTATCATCACGGACTGACATTAGTTGAAGAACCATTGAAAAACTGGGACCGGTGGACAGCAGTTTCGTTCTAGTATGGGACTTCTCAGCAATGCGCGCCGATGATCCAGCCAGGGATTGAATAGATGCTTATAGGGATTTATTGAGTTTAAGTTGGTCCTGGGTATGCACCACTGAGGAGTCCCACGATGGCACAAAACAGCATACAAGTGGTCCCAGGTCCTCAGTGGTTCTCCAACTGACTTCAGTCCGTGATGAATACTAACTGGAAATCGACGAATCCCCACAAACTTCCAATTTGGCCATTCAGTGGATATCGTCGTAAGATCTGGCGTTACTGCATAACACAACCCACGTTGCTTCACCTTGTCGCAACTCATCAAGGGAGGAGACACTAAGATGAAAAACGGAGAAATAAGAAAGGAATTAGTAGAGAGTCATAAAAAAGCGATGGAGATGGTTTAGCGTTATTATTGTAGCTAAATACACTGAGCTTGGGTTATATAGGGCGATGTAGACTAGCCGGTTGAAGTCCGCTGGATAACAGAAATCACTAGTTGGAGACTCTAAGTGATATAGGCTTAGAGCCGATGTCGATGCGGCAGGTGCATAGGCACACTATCCTCATCTTAACCGTTGTACCTAATCTCATCATCTCATTCTTCTTTTCTCTCTTACTACTCTCTACTTCTTTTGATTGGTTTTTCTTTCTTTCTTCATCTTCCTTTTTTTTGCCTTGTTATTTGATGTGTTGATATGAGGTGTGGCAACTTAGACCGTTATGCTGGTCCTATGTTGATCTTGATGATGATAAATCTAAGTGGAGTACTTTTTTTTTTACACCGAAAGCATTGACGACTCGTTGGGTCAGTCTTAGTCAAAGAAACTATAGATTATCTATGATACACTTCCACAGCTAAGCATCACTTATTGAATTGGTTGTTCAATGAGATGCACTCAGGTCTAGCAGAACAAAAGGATGGAAAGATTGAGATTAAAATGCTGTCATCAGTCACGTACATGTTAACACAGTAGACAATGAGTCATATCTATTGTGTGTGAAGAGTGGTGATACTATCTGATTACCTTAACTTTAGTAAGTAGGGCTGGGTTCGAACCCGTGATCAGTTGATCAAAAGTCAAGTGCCTATATCCGAGATATAACAAAATAAAAGTAGAACCTCGCTAACACAAGTACATCGGTTCACAGCAGAATGATAAGAATAAGAGGATACACAAAGTTGTGTGAGAGGGAAACAAATTTGAAAATTACAGTTAGTGAAAATGTCTAAACTTTACATCTGTATCATTGTGATCGATTTTAAGCCATTTCAGCAAGAGTCTACAACTACTAATTCCTATGATTTCGAAGAAAGAGAGTTTACGTGTCTCAAGTCAATAATCAGAGACTTCATGGGCTCCTATCACATCTTGGTTTGACAATCGTAAGCCTTTTGCTCACCGAATCCAGCATCGCCTAGCAGGGTGCGTGCAGATACGCGGTGGTTCAGGCATGCGTAACACATTTCCAAGTTAAAATGGTTCACATCGTTATTGATTGACTTGCTTCCCTTGCCTTATAACCGTTTCTTTAAACTTCACATTACTCATATAGTGATTACGGTATACACGAACAATGTAATGAAGAGACTTATGGTTAAAAACCTGTAGTCTTTTGAGATCTTCTGGTTTCAACGGGTATGTCTTACAACCGTATAACAAGACAGAATGGACTGCAGCACAGTATACTCATCCTTTAACAGGCAGTCGAATATCTTGGCAGTTGGCAACAAGCTTTTTGTATTCAAGCTGAGCTACAGTCCTGCATAGTAAAGTTAAACAAATTTCCTGTACATAAATCGAAATGATTTAAAACTTTTATAAGTTAATTTGATGAATTAATTACAAGTTCTGTTGTGTTATCGCCAATTTCATACTTTTAGATCCTTGTCAAATCTATATCAAAAGATTTTGCTCATGTTCTTTTCTTCGGCTCAAATAGTCGTCTTTTCTTTATAACAGATATAGGGTAAGTTATCTATAACCAATGTCGTATAGTCTCTTACTAAAGAGACTTCTCATTCATTTCCTTGTTGAATAGTCTAATTTCGCTTAACTCGGTATTTAAATTGTAATTCATACCACTGCGATATTATCATCTTATATTCTTTATATAGAATTAATGTTTACCAGGTAGCTTGTGTATCTAAGGTTCATTGGATTTCCATCCATCCATGCATCCAGATCAACCTAGGACCAGGCATTACTGCGTAACAGTCCGAGTTGCTACACCTCATCTCATATCAGTACATCAAGTAACAAAGGCAGTGAGGTGCAAGATGAAGATAAGAGAATGCAGTCAAAAGAAATATAAAGTACGAGAAGAAGGAAAGGAAGAATGAGAAAGTGGTGAGATTCGGTATAGCTTCATTAAGATGAGGATAATGTGTGTGTGTGTATACATCTGCACCACTGACATCAGTTCTGAGCCATGTGATCACCTAGAGTCAGTCTCCAAACATTAGTTTCTCTTGTCCCTTGGATCCTAACCACCTAGTCTGCATCGTCCGACATGGCTGAAAGCAAGAGTCAGAGACTTCATACAGTGGTGGCATGTTTTAGTGTGGCCATGTCGAGCGTTTTTCCAGTCTGAACCTACTTCAGCCAAGATTGTGTGATGAGGCATAGGCATATGTAGTACGTGTCTCAACCATGTGAATCGATGAAGGTTCATAACGTCGTCAAGTGATTTATCTCTACTCCTTAGAACTACAGAACTACAGCTGACTTGTGTGTTACTGACGTGGTGTGGTGACGCCACGGAATATGGCCTATAATGAGAAGGCGACGGTGGTGGAACACTTGAAGCCAGCGTTCTCATGTCTTCCACGTTGAGTGGGCATATTTGACAGGCATAGAGTAGAATAGAGTGGAGTACATGCGACCCTTAATAGACAATGGGATGTGATGGTGGCGCCATAGGTGGCAGAGATTGGTGAAAGCCAGTCGAGTTTTTTGTATTTGTGTAGAGATTGAATCGGCCACTGAGGCAGTGGGGCAGGGCTGATCGTACTTGCCAGGTAAGTGAAGTGGTCGACACACTGAATGACTACACTGTGTATTGTTATCCGGGATGGGGCAGTGTTGAGGATGAATCGTGTAGCAATAATTTGCATTTTGGTGATGAGGAATGGAGACGTTGCTAAAGATTGTGAAATTGCCACTGAGAGTGTTGAGTAGACTGTGGATGTTGTGAGCGTCTTCAGGTAACAGGCGTATGTTATGTGTGTGTTGTAGGTGTAAGGAAGATTGTCGTGTGATTAGATGAAGGTCTGTGTAGTGAGTTGATGAGAGGGAGACCTCTATAAGAAGAGTGTGTGTGTGATGAAATTGGATAAGAATGGATAGAGTGGGAAGGTAAGGTTTAATGGACAGCACTGAAGGAGGATAGGTGGGTGGACATGTCACCATATGGTGTAAGATGCCCACAAGTGTTTGAGTAGAGAGCCTTGAAGAAGGTGTTGATGTATTTATTAGGTACACCTTTGAGTGAGAGACATTGCTATGAGACTTCCTGATCAACGAAGTTATTGGATTTGGTATTTGACTGTCAAACAATTGGTTTCGCGTTTACTACCCTACTCCACTAACTGTGTTTTTGGCAGTCAAGCGGTCTCAGCAACCTTTGCAAAATAGGTATTCTTCATTACTGCGTATGTGTAGCTGCATTTGACTATTTATGTCGTCAATTCGTATTGACAGTGAACCCATCTTCTAGTGTCGTACATTCTTCTATCATTCTGTTAGGGCCATCATTTTCAGCGAAATCTAATCACAGTGACTAAGTATTGAAAATGCAGATTACATTTTAAAATCACCGATTAGAGATTTCTCATGGCAGGATGGTGTGAATGTAGGCTTCCCGCTTCTCCGTACTCATCTTCACGGAAGAAATGCTTGCAATGATGAGTAAGATTTTGTTTCCTTGGTAATTCTAATCTGTATCACTTAGTAATGAAGTCAGAGACCCTACTTATAAGCTAATCATGCCGTGTATGACCTCTGTACATAGCTGGATCATCTAGAATAGTTGGTCACTGTTGCAGTAGGTAACCCTCGCATGCGTGTGTGTGTCTAATCCCTAACTATGGGCACTGATCAAAGAAAATTGATGAGGCTAGTGCGTACTAACTAGGAGGAAGCTTAGTACTAGAGCTTCTCAGTGGTTCAGGGAGAGACGACTATCAACCATGTTGTCGCATGTCCGAATCCCCCTTCACCTACTGAGATTTGGGCAGCCAGATAGTGTCATTAGCCTTCATACAATAGGCGTGGCTGCTCATTGCCTACTGCACATTTGTGCACAAGGTGGCTGAATTCGTTTCTTAGAGCTTCTCACCGATCGACTCCAAACATCCAACATCAAAATATAGACCACCTTGGCGCTGCTGGAGAAAATTCGGTCAGTGCTGAGCGATAAAGATTAAAGAACTGTATCGGTCATCCACTGGTGACTGGATAGTGTATATACATGTATATTCTGCATTTATGTTCTAATATTGTTGTGCTTTAATGTATATATAATCTGATTTGTTTTATTTAGGCTTATATATACATATCTTCATAATAATGATCCAGTTGTCCGACAAGTACACCCTAGGGTAAATGAATCGTTCAAAGCGGCTATTAACTTGTTGAAATTATCAGATTGTTCAGCGAAATTCAACTATTCAGACGCAATACAATCCGATTTATTTTTCAAAGGTTATGTAACGTGTAGTACAAGTTCTAATCGATGTTTTGTGGTAGTGGGCAATATATCTGGTTACCTTATACTAATCAAGATTCTTAAAGGTTTGTTATACTTCCTTTTGTACAATTTCTAACTCTCAACTATCAAATACTTAATCCTTTTTTATGGGTGACGGTTCATTTAGTTGTTTATGAGTTGAACAGAACCTATAAACTACTGTATAGTGACCCAGTGTCAGTGACTAACAGAATAATACGATTTACGAGAACGCTACTAACGCGATGAGATATTTAGATTGGATACGATTAGTGACTGTTCTCCCTGAAATCTGATAATACTCTGAGCCGCGAAAATCAGAAGAGAAAGACTGGCCTGTGACTTGGTTTAACAAAAAGCATAACGTTTATATACAGTTTTTCCTCAGTAAATGAACGCACTAGGGGGTCAACGTTGGATACTTATTCTGATTGGTCAACTGAAGGACAAAGTCGTCCAATAACGTTTTTCCTACCCAAGCAGTAAAGGTTAAATCAAGGTTGAAATCCAAAACTTGGGTTGGGAGAGAGTGACATCCAGAATACTTTTAACTGTGAACAGACGAATAATATTCGTGTGGTGACTAGGTCAATATTCATAGAGGAAGTGTACTGGGGGTTTTTGAGTAAGGAATTTATGAGAGGTGAACTGTGACTAATTTTTTTTGATCATCCATCAGCCATTCGATAATGGCTGCTTCTGATCTTCTTATAGTTTATTACAAACGCAGTAACGCAACATGAAAGGATTTTATTCATCTCTTGAAGTATGATAAAGGTGGTTGTAGTAAATATGAAGAAATAAAACTGTTTGTTTCACATAGTGTGGAGCTGTGGCTCGTCGGTTTAAGGAGATGATTTTCAAACAACTGGTTGAACTGAGCCTCACCTACTGAGGTTTAGGCAGCCAGGTGACACTATCATTAGCCCTCACACAATAAGTATGGCTCATCGTCTACTTCATGAGTGTACACTTATTTGCTGAGGGCATTCTGATTTCGATTGCTTGTTTCAAAGAATTATATGCAAGTTTGAAGCTTTTCCTGTTATGATGCGGAGTTGTGAGAACGAACGAAAATACTTAACGACTGATAGTCTATTATTGAGATGATTCACCCTGAGTGGTTTGCAAAGAAACATCAAAAGACTGGAAATCACATGAGTTTATAATATCTCGAACTGAAAACGTTTATGAGTGAAAACAGACCCTATTTGTAGAGTTTTCGGTAATCTTGAAAAGCAAGGAATAATTAGTACATATAAAGAGGTAAGAGCCACTCAGAAAGCTAGCGGGTCATACGAAATATGACCTTTGCTGGGGAAAAAGAGCGCGAAATAAACCAGTTCAAGTATATACAAACTGTAAATACGGAATGTAAGGGATATGGGCATCCCTAGCAATTTGCGTACTGAATAGTAATAGGTTATCAAATCTGTTTAGAAGGAAGACATTGCCACTTTTTGACCTTTCACACAACTGATAGCCAAACAAACAGAACCAACGTAAGACCTCACACTCAAATTGGTTAGTTCAAGTTGTTACATTTCACAATAGTATGCAAAGAACTAGGGGATATACAAAGGCTTATATCGCAGTAGATAGTCATGTGAGGGAATGAACAAGCTGAAGATGAAGGCCAATACGAATATATTCATGCTTTATCAAGGAGTGAATACATCTACGCCACTGTGACCGATTTTCAGCCACGCCATCAAAAGATTTCATCGATCGGTACCACGACATGATCTAGTTGCATAACTGAATATTTTCCATCCCCTACTACTAAAGTCTGAATATTGTAGCCCCTTAAAACTACTTACTGTAAAGTGTAATCTATGTATGTTTAACATAAGTTTCATGACATCATTTGTGAATTAACTGACCATTATTAGATTTTATTAGTATGGAGGTGTAGATCAGTGTTTTAGACATCCAATTTCTTTTTACCAATAGGTCATGGGTTCGAAACCCATCACCTTTGTTTGGGTAGTCAGGTAGTATCATTAACTCTTGCATAGTGGACGTGGCTTATACTTCATGAATGTGCACATAGTTGCTGAGTACTATTTGACATTTAGCCAAACTGTCATAGCTAGCTAGCTAGCTGTATTCAAGCTGATTTAAATAAGTCACGTTTTTTTGAGATGGATAGCAAAATCCCTGGATCTGAATGTTTACACTCATTGCACTCTGTTCTCTACAGTCTTTTCAACCTGGCACCACGACTGCCCACAAGCTTTTATTTCTTCTTCACATAATCTCCTCCATGTCACCCTCGCCTCGAACGCTGAACTCATCGTTTCCCCTTCGGATTCCACTCGAGTGCCTCGCTGGCCTGATGTGTGATGTCCCCAGTCTGCCTTCTCAGTCTATGTCCAGTTCAATCCATATCCACTAACTTCTTTTGTATATTTGCTGAGTGACGGGTTCTTGGTTGGTTCGTTGCCAGCCGTAGTGAGTTCCTTGTTGCTCATTCTTATTATTCTGGCCATCTGATCTTCATTGTCGAGCCAGCGTAGGCAGCTGTTGATGTTGTGAATATCTATAGTTTGTTGGAAGTGCTTCTCGTGATGCGTCAAGTTTCTGAGCCACATAGCAGCACTGACTTGACATTGGTGTTAAAAATCCGGATCTTGTTCTTTATGCTGAATGAAGTAGATCTCCACACTGATTTCAGATTAGTGAAAGCCTGTCTTGCCGTCTTTCCGATCCTGTTTTTGATATCCTCATCTGTGCCACCACCCCCTGTAGTTGAAACGATGCTGCCTAGGTGGGTAGGTAAAAGAGACAACTTGGTTTAGATTTCTCCCGTTGATGGTGATTAGTGCTTGTTGTTGTTGATTGGTTATCTTCATCACTTTTGTCTGCTACGTGTTCACCTGAAGGAAGTGCCGTCTTCGTTGCCTCGCCTCGCTTCGCCGCCAACTTGTTAGTTTTCACCTGTAGATCTTCAAGTTTGTGCGACAAGACATGAGACATAAATCCTCATCGGCGAAATCCAAATCTTCTCCTGGGGCCTTTTCATCGTTCCAGCCAGCGTATGTCTATCTTGTCGCTCCTCATGGTTTGCTGCATGATCCAGTCCACCACAATCAGGAAGATGATAGGTGATATTAGGCAGCCTTATCTTACTCCTGTCTTCACTTCAAAGGCATCACTGAGCTTTCCATTGTAGAGTCATACTGGGAGGAAACTGCTGTCCCTCTCTCTCTTTCTTCATATGGGTAAGATTAAGCAGCTTTTGAAAAAAACATGCACAGAACCGCAGTACTTAGCTGTGACGAATCGTTTTTAGTCTTTGGTGTGTATGTGTGTGACCGTAATGCAAATAGTTTATGATCTCAGGTTTAACAGTATTTCTACTACACTTACTAGTGTCTACATTCTGTTGGTTGATCACTACAATGTATGTACTCATCAATGAAAGTGTATAACCTTAATGTAGGTGTATTTTCTCCTCACAGAATTGTTCATGTCTATATCTTCTGTATAATTTCTTTTCTTCTCTCTAGATCCACCTTTTATGGAATGGTTGGATATCTTAACTGTCAATGATAAAGTAATGAAAATTGTATGGATTAGTCCATTGCATATAGTAATTGGGTTTTCAAATGGAGATTCTGTGAGTCTTCAATCAAATTCCCGTTATATATATATATATATATATATATATATATATATATATATATATATATATATATATATATATATATATATATATATATATATATATCAACTGGAGACCTTAGATAATAGTTGGATTATATCACGAATGGACAAAAGTTGGAAACTGTGAAACATTGAACCCCGATCCAGTGGCTAAATGATTAAGGCTTTCGCCGTGAGACCTGAAGGTCTTGGGTTCGACCCCTAGCCAGGTGGTGGATGCCGTACTGCTGAGGAGTCTCACACTAGAACGAAACAGCTGTCCAGTGCTGCCAGGTTTTCAATGGTTCTCCAACTGATGTCAATCCGTGATGAATACTACTATAAATACTATGAATGTTATGTTTTCATGTTTTGGCTAGTCGATATCAGAATCATGATGCCTGGCGATAACATTGAGAATAATAGTCCTGTTGTTATATTGCGAATAGGCAGATGTTGAAATTAGTGGATTATTAGGTTCTATTCAGGTGGCTAAATGCTAAAGCGCTCTGTGTTAGACGTGGCAGTCTTAGGCACGATCCCTAATGGGGTCATGGGTGCCCTCTGTTGAGGGAGGAGTCTTCGACCAGAACGAAACAACTATCCAGTGCTTCCAGGTTTTCAGCGTTTCTTTGTTTCATATCATTTCGTGATAAAGTCAACTATTAAAATGATCACAATATCAGTACAGTTACTATCTGACTGAAAAATGTAAGTGATAATACTGTTTGCGTAACAAGGTTAAGTGATTTCACTCCATAGGATTTTCATCGGATCCATACAACTTGGATTTATTAAATCTGAAGCGATCGAGTGAATAATAACGCGAACGATTATAGTGCAATCGTATACTTGAACTGTGGATACCAACAGCGATTGTTCTCCCTCATCATAACTGTATACTTCACTGAGCCACGAAGATGAGAAGACAAAGACCAGAGTGTCTGTTACCACAAGGAAGACAGTTTGTTGGAGGAAATGCATCATTTATATACAGTTTTCATGCATATATAAAACTACTAGGTGAAAGGTTGAATATTTATTGTGATTGGTGGACAAAATTGTCGAATAAGGTTATTCGTGACCACACAGTAACATGAAATAAAAGTAAAGATGAAAACTTTAAGCTTATCGACTGATGACTTAAAATGTTGATTTCCATTTAAACCGCTTCCTATCAAATTCACGTGTATATATTTTAGCAAGTGTACAGGAGCAACAGAAAGAAAGTTGCCTATCAGAAGTATCAAACATGCACCAACGAGTCTATGTTTCAGGAGGTTTAATTTCATTTAATAGTACGTTAGCGTGTCAGCTACCTGATACACAGCACCAGGTTGACATATGGAATTCCTATGATAGTGAACGGCGTATAGACTTTACCGTTTGAAGAATTCCACCTTAATTATTATCTAATTTAGGACTGTTAATATTGAAATTTTACCGCCAACTAGATTTCTACTTCATCTTTAATCTTTAAACTAATGTCTAATTTTATCTCATACATTCAAGAACATTCTTAACTTTGTCTTATATTATAACAAGTGCTGCAGAGGTTATTTGCTTATTTATTCAGCTTTTGTATACAACTAATGAAAATCCTATGAAATCGAATGAGATTATCATCTTATCATGCCAGTATTGTATTCTGATTGTTGTTCACATTCATCGAAAGGGTATAAATACATGAAATACATATACACAGTTGAATTTATTGTAACTTGAGTATACTTTAGTTAATTCATGACTGACTATCAACTGATTGTTTTCAAGCCAGTGTTTATAAGAGAATATAAAAAAGACTTTTCTTACGTTTATTGAAAGCTGATACTCACCTTAATTATGGTGCAGTTAACTTTGTGGTCTTATGGGATTTTTTAGTATGATTCCTCAACTTTCTATCAGTATTTCATGGATTCATTCAGACGCTATTACGTATGGTCTATATATAAGTATCAACCTTGGTCGAAAACACGAGTCTGTATTTGTAAGCTAAGTTGTGGAGAGAGAGATATAGTGATCTATGATAACCACATTAAAAATTGATGTTTTTCTCCGCGATGGTTGAACAACATTGAAATAATAGAGCAGTGCTTATTACTCAAACGGAATCCTGTGCAATGGTTATGAAATTGTCACAATGTAAATCTGTTGACTATCTATTATTAGTCCCTTGGGTTCCTAATGGAACATAGGGCTTCAGTAGCACGTCTGCATTCCACTCTGTTCTGTGAAATCTTTTGAACTTGGCTCCACGACAGCCCACAACCTCTCATTTCCTCCTCGCACCATCTCCTCCATATCACACTCGGCACCGACACCCAACTCGTCGTTTCCCATGGGGATTCCACTCGAGCGACTGGCTGGCCTGACGCGTGATGTTCCCAGTCGGCCTTCTCAGTGTATGCCCAACACAATCCATCTCCACTTCCTTCTGCATATTTGTTGGGTGATAAGTTCATGGTTGGTTCGTTGCCAGAGCTCGTTGTTGCTTATTCTTTCTGACAATCCATCTAATCTTCAGTATCGAGCTAGCGTAATCAGTTGTTGATCAATGTGTGTAGTTTATTGGAAATCGCTTTTGTAACGCGCCAGGTCTCTGAACCATCACACAGAAGCACTGACTTGACTGAGGTTGGTGTTGAAAATCCTGATATTGGTCACGCCTTATGCTGAGTACAGAAGATCTCCACACTGGTTTGAGGTTAATGAATGCCTGTCTTGCTATCTTTCCGATCGTGGCTTTGACATCCTCATGTGTGTTGCCTGTAGTTGAAACAGTGCTTCCTAGATAGGTGAAGGAGGTTACTTCCTTTCTGCCGTTTCTTCCGTTGATGCTGATTGGAGTTTGTTGTTGTTGGAGTATCTTCATCACTTCTGTCTTCTCTATATTCACCTGAAGTCCCGTCTTCCTTGGCTGCCCTGCCTCTTCTGCTAACTTGTTAGTTTTTGCCTGTAGATCTTCTTTGAGTTTGTGTGACATCAGGCACAAGTGATCACTGGCGAAATCCAAATCTTCTGGGTTCTTTTTCGCAGTCCAGCCAGCGTATCTCCCTCTTCTTGCTCCCCACTGTTTGTTGCATGATCCATTGAAGTTGAGCACAATGAGGAATATCATGGGTGGTAGTAGACAGCAACCTTGTTTCACTCCTGTCTTCACTTCCATGGCATCAATGAGCTTCCCATTGTGAATTACTTGGTATGTGGCGTCTTCATATAGTTGTTGAATGAGGTGGATAAAGGTTTGTGGTATTCCGTAGTAGTGAAGCAGTTTTTAAATTACCTCTCGGTCGACGTTGTCGAATGCCGGCCTTCTCAAAGTCGATAAAGTTGAGGTGTAGAGTTGACTGCCATTCTATACTCTGTTGTATGATGATGCGTAGTGTAGCGTTGCAATTTGGTCTGCACATGATTTGTACTTCCTGAAGCCTGCCAGCCTGTTCGGGTCGTAGTTTTGAATCCAGTGCATCCTTTAACCTCTCCAGGATGATGCGGCCTAATATTTTGCTTGCATTGGGTGGACAGGAGAGTGATTCCGTGCCAGTTCTTGTAAACACTGAGGTCTCCCTTCTTCGGGAGTCCGACGAGGTAACCCTTCTTCCAATCAATGGCCAGGTACCTTCTCTTTCTTCCACACCTTCTGCAATAGTGGTGTGAGCATGTGTGTTGATTATCTGCTGAAACATAATGAAATAAGAGATTTAACTATTCGGGATATATTTTATAGAACACCTTTCAGTGTAGTGTTGTATATTACTGATTGATAAGTGCAAGTTTTATGGATTCAATTGAAAAACTCTCAATTACCGGTAGTCGCTTGTTCGAATCCCACCGTGGCTCAAATTTTCATTTCACATTCAACCACATGTATATCTAACTGGTGGATTGTACATCATAAAAGCTTAGGAGTTATAAACTGACTGACTGATTGAATCAGCATAGAACCTCGGACACAGATACATTGCTTCAAACTGCCACACTTCCCAGTAAAGACAAATAAGTGTAACATTAGTGTTATTACAGAAAACAAACTGTACAATTTCCTTGTTTAGTGTATTTATTATCTGCGATAAGGTGATCAGGAAGAGATGTATTCTCAGAGAGGAAAATTTCACATATTTTAGATAATGTAAGTGAATCAATCTCCTTCTCCCTAATAATATGCATGTCCTGTTCCTTCACCTATCTCACTTCCGGATTGATAGCTGCTGCCTTGATGTGTTATTCAGGCTTGTATATCACAGTGATCCAACAAGATACACCTATTGGAATGCTTATTTCCTCAAAGTCTTACAGTACTTGAAAGATTTGTTGCATAGTTGTAGGACGAAACGAAGTTATCGTTATGCTGTAAATTGATACACTATGATGGGGGGTCCAAAGGCGAAGTTGTACGATTGGCTAGACAGAGTGTAACATCCATAAGGTGTTTCTCCTGGATGACAAGCAATTTCACACTGATGATGCCTTCCCTGTGGGAAGGGGGGGGGGTTTGAGAAGGTTGACCCTAACAATAGCACACTCCCCACTACCCTGCGGCATATTTGTGTAGGCGATCTAGTCCACAGTCTGATGCAACACTTATCACACTTGAATCTCAAACTTCTAAAGAACATTGTGCGTGATCGTCTCCGAGCACATATCCCTTGGGCTCTGTAGTCATACAATAACCCTTCGTTTTTAGGTATCTTAAAATGAAATAGCCTTTCATAGTGTGGGCAACCGGAGAGTGTCAATAATCCTCTCAACTCTTCCCGCACTCAATTTCTCTCCTGTCCCACTTGCATCATCGAACTTAAAAAATTCAGTAGTATTAATATTTGTCTCTTGGGTTCCTAGTGGAACATAGGGATTCACGACTGCCCACAAGCTTTCATTTCTTCCTCACACCATCGCCTCCATGTCACCCTCGCCTCGAACGCTGAACTCATCGTTTCCCCTTCGGATTCCACTCGAGGGCCTGGCCTAACCCGGTGCGTGATATTCCCAAATGGTCTTCTCATTGTGTGCCCAATCCAATCCAATATATCTCCACTTTCTTCTTCTGTATATTTGTTGAGTGACGGGTTCTTGGTTGATTCGTTGCCAGCCCTAGTGAGTTCGTTGTTGCTTATTCTTATTATTCTGTCACTGACTTGATATTAGTGTTGAGAATCTGGATGTTGTTCAGGCTTCATGCTGAGTGCAGTGGAATAGATCTCTACACTGATTATTTCAGATTAATGAAGGCCTGTGTTACTGTCATTCCGATCCTGGATATGACTTCCTGATCTGTGCCACCTCTGTCACCTGTGGTTGAAAGGATGCTGCCTAGGTAGGTAGGTAGGTAGGTAGGTGAGAGAGACAACTTGGTTTAGATTTCTCCCGTTGATATTGATTAGTGCCTGTTGTTGTTGTTGTTGATTGGTTATCTTCATCACTTTTGTCTTCTCCGTGTTCACCTGAAGGAAGTGCCGTCTTTGTTGCCTCGCCTCGCCTTTCCTCTTCTGCCAACTTGTTAGTTTTCGTTTATAGATTTTCGAGTTTATGCAAGTATTGGCATCAGTCACTGAAATTAATCTTTCATGGGAATGACAATCCCAGCCATGCATCCAAACCAACATAGGAGCAGGCATTACTGCGTAACGGTCCGAGTTGCTACACCTCATCTCATATCAGTACATCAAGTAACAAAGGCAGTGAGGTGCAAGATGAAGATAAGAGAATGCAGTCAAGAGGAATATAAAGTACGAGAAGAAAGAAAGGAAGAATGAGAAAGTGGTGAGATTCGGTATAGCGTTGTTGAGATGAGGATAATGTGTGTGTGTATACATCTGCACCACTGACATCGATTCTGAGCCATATCGCTTAGAGTCAGTCTCCAACCACTAGTTTCTCTTGTCCCTTGGATGCCAACCACCTAGTCTGCATTGTCCGACATGGCTGAAAGCAAGAGTCATAGACTTCATACAGTGGTGGCATGTTTTAGTGTGGCCATGTGGAGCGTTTTTCCAGTCTGAAGCTAATTTGGCCAAGATTGTGTGACGAGGCAATCGTTGACGAGGCATAGACAGGCATATGTAGTACGTGTCCCAACCATGTGAGTCGATGAAGGTTCATAACGTCGTCAAGTGATTTATCTCTACTCCTTAGAACTACAGAACTACAGCTGACTTGTGTGTTACTGACGTGGTGTGGTGACACCACGGAATATGGCCTATAATGCGAAGGCGACGGTGGTGGAACACTTGAAGCCAGCGTTCTCATGTGTTCCACGTTGAATGGTCATGTTTGACAGGCATAGAGTAGAATAGAGTGGAGTGTTGTGCAGGTGGAGTACATGCGACGCTTACTAGACAATGGGATGTGATGGTGGTGCCATAGGTGGCAGAGGTTGGTGAAAGGCAACCGAGGTTTATGTATTTGTGTAGAGATTGAATCGGCCACTGAGGCAGTGGGGCAGGGCTGATCGTACTTGCCAGGTAAGTGAAGTGGTCGACACACTGAATGACTACACTGTGTATTGTTATCCGGGATGGGGCAGTGTTGAGGATGAATCGTGTAGCAATAATTTGCATTTTGGTGATGAGGAATGGAGACATTGCTAAAGATTGTGAAATTGCCATTGAGAGTGTTGAGTAGACTGTGGATGTTGTCAGCGTCTTCAGGTAACAGGCGTATGTTATGTGTGTGTTGTAGGTGTAAGGAAGATTGTCGTGTGATTAGATGAAGGTCTGTGTAGTGAGTTGATGAGAGGGAGACCTCCATAAGAAGAGTGTGTGTGTGATGAAATTGGATAAGAATGGATAGAGTGGGAAGGTAAGGTTTAATGGACAGCACTGAAGGAGGATAGCTGGATGGGCTTGTCACCATATGGTGTAAGATGCCCACAAGTATTTGAGTAGAGAGCCTTGAAGAAGGTGTTGATGTATTGATTAGGTTCACCTTTGAGTGAGAGAGATTGGCGTGCGACTTGTCGATCAACGGAGTCGAATGCTGCCATCCTCAGGTGGAGAAATACAACTATTTTTGGTCGTCGGTATGCATGTTTGTGTTCGAGAATGTGGAGCAGTGTGAATGTTTGTTCGATACACCCACGTGTGGGTTTAAAGCGTGCCTGGTTTCCTCAGGCTTGTTGTTTTCGAGCTGCACTCTGGCGTGGAAGTTTTATAGAAGCTAGTATCTTGGACACTATGTTGTTGAGACTGACTCCTCTGTGGTTATCATGAGAGGACTTCTTAGCTTTCTTAAAGACTGAGATAATGAGTGATTTGGACCAGACCAGTGAGAGGGGATTGTATTTGATTCCTAAATAGTAGTTAACACTTGCGTTAAGCTGACTAAGATCACTTTACTACCATCGTTGTATACCTCAGTGGGTAGTTCGACTAGTGTTGCTGCCATTCTTCGTTTCAGGTAAGCTACTGTTTTCTCGACTTGTGTTAGTGTTTGGAGGTCTATCTCAATTTTCAATTCAGGATCCGACCGGAAAACGGGCAAGGCAATGGTAGCTGTAGGTGGGTTAAACTGTGTTTCGGAGTGTTCTGCCCATCGTTCGAGTCGTCTTTTCTGCCAGTGAATCGGAGATCCATCCTGTGCTATGGTCTCACCGTTGTTGACATTTCCCTTCCAGCTTCCTTAATAGGTCTAAATAACTGTCTCCTGTTACCAATCGCCGCTGCATTCCCATCTCTTTAGCCTTGGCTGTCCACCACTGTACGCGGTTGTTGCATAGACTTTTTCTTAATCTGCTTTGAAGTTGAACTTGCGCTTCATTGTACTCATCGCCTGCAGGGATGCGTTCTCGTGCACCCATTAGTTCTGAAGAAACTGCTAATTTCCACTGGCTCTTTTTAGCCACTCTTTCGGAGTCGGCTACGGTGTTCAGCGCTGCTTTTACAGCAGACTGGAGATGTCAGCAAGCTTTTTCTGGATAAGTGATAGTCTTTTGTTCCGACACCTGCCTAGCCAACTTCCCACTGAAAGGGGCTTTGATGTTTTCGTTGCCCAGCAGCACTCATAGTGGGTTTGTTGCCAAATTTTTCCTACTTCCATTGAGACTCAGGCATAGACGCGTTCGGACCAACGCATGGTCACCTTCTAAACATGTACTCCAGAAGGAGCGGCAGTCTTTCACCGATCCTCTCCAGCGATGACTAATAACAATGTGGTCTATCAGTATCCATCGCTGAGTTGATCTCGGTGGACACGATGTCAGACAGTGTCTTTCTTTGTGTCTGAAATTTGTGCTAACTAAAAATAGGCGGTTATCTGAGCATAGTTGTAGTAGACGATCACTGTTATCTGTTCGTCTAGACGGGATTCTGAAAGTGCCACCCAAGTGCCTTTTTGCCCCACTCAGCCTACGCACCTGTGCATTGAAATCGCCTGCAACAATCATTGCGTCTGAGCCTTTGTCTTTCTAAAGAAGGCTAGATAGTTTACGGTAGAACTCCTCCTTCACTTCATCCGATCTACAGTCAGTGGGTGTGTGAGCGGAAATTACAAAGAGACAACGGCGAGTCTCACTATTCCTTTTAGTTCTCACCGTGCCGTTCAGCCTCATAGCGCAGAGGCGAGGCGACTATCAACTGGGATCCAGTCGAGTAGTGAGTTTTCTGCCCCAGTGCTGAGTGCTATGCCTACACCTGCAGGACCCCGAGAGCTAGCTATCGAATCTCCAGAAACTCGAAGGGTGAATTTCATAGATTCACCATATTGGTCGGGAGAGGTTAGGTGAATAACCGTACTTGGGTCCTGTATGCGTGTCTCACAAACACAGCACACATCCATGGTCCGAGTTGCTAGAGTCTTTGCCAACGAAGCCTGTTGACCAATTTGAAGGAGGTTGCGGACATTGGAGGCTCCAATATATAATTTGGAGCGTGGTTTAAGGAGACTAAGGATACTGTTTTGTGGACTCAGATCGTCGTCGAAGGCTGCAGAGGTAGAAGAAATTGAAGATGATGTGGTATCGTCAGTTGAGAGACGTGAAGGAAGATTAGAAGGTAATGATGGGGGAGGTGGATAGCAGTCTGAGGGAACTTGAGTGCTGATAGATTTGTGAGGGCGGTTGACACTTCCTGGCTGCTCACACCGTGGAAGGCCATGAGAATGATAAACTGAGAATTTTATGCTCAACAATCTAGAATCGGTGGTTGTTTTCTACTGCTAATGAGTAGTATGGTTGACTTTGAAAGGTTTTTTCTCCTCTGTTTTAATATCTCTAAATTTACGTCTTATTTTATGATGAATTCCTCTCTTTTTTTGTCTCTTTTCAAATGTTTTCTCGAAAGTTGATTCTTCCTTTGTTAGAAGCTGAAGATAATACACTAAAATTCAGTCGGATAAGGATTACTCTTCAAATGTCAGATACTTCAAAGGGTATGAAATGGTTGAATACAGCATCTGAGTTGATTTCAGTCGGTACTGCTAGTACTTGCATAGATGACAATAACTCTGGGATTCTAGTGATTGGCACTCGTGATGGAAGTATTTGTTCATACATGATTGATGTAAGTGTATTTATTTTTTTTCCCCGTCAATCTGTCATTATTTTTGTCACTCTACTGTCCTTCTTTATTTATGGAATATAATTAAGGATCGGTAATCTCTGTATTTGAAAATGGAGAAGGAGGAATGAAGGTCGCGCTGTGTAGCCAATTGACACAAGTAGGAAAATGTGGACTACTGTATCCTGATGTAGCGGTTCCATGGTAACGTGTTGGCTGCAAAACCTGGAGGTTCGTAGGTGTGCATTACTGATGAGCTGCATACTAGGAGAAAGCAGCTTTTCAATGCGCCCAGTTTTTCAATGTTTTTCAAACTGATATCACCCCTTTATGATTATTAACTTGTAAGAAAATTGGTGATTAGAAATATCGTCTGTAAATCCACATTTTCTAGGTATTGTGATGAATTAGCATAGATCAGTGATGTACTTCCACTTTTCAAGCTTAATGTTTGTAGTATAATATTTATTGTGACTGATTGGCTAGGACATATTTATCAAAGGACGAGTATGCTGCACTGCCTGTTATATATAGTTATGAGACATGGCCGTTAAAAGTAGAAGACATGAAGCGGTTACAGTATTTTGATCACAGATATCTTCAAAGCATTGCTTGCGTTTGATGGAATCACCGCATGAGCAATGATTTAGGTCAGGCGAATGATGAGGTTGTGAACCTTATTCGACTAAGATGTCTTGGACATGTGTACTGGGCATGCCGAGCCACTACCTACGTCGACATGCTATGCTACTAGGGAAGTTGGTTTAGGCTTGAAAAGGGTTGAAGGTGGCCAGACAAGGACGTGGAACCAGTCGATGAAGTCTCTTCCTGTTGGTCTGAGTTCTGTAGGAAGATGTAGATCGCTTAACTGGAGTTCTCGAGACTAATAGAATCAGTGTTTGAGGACTGTTGGTGACATATCTGAAAATTGGTCACAATGGTTCAAATGTATTCACTTTTTGACGTCTTCTAAAGCTTGGATATTTGTACTAGCATTTATCTTCAAATTATTTATTGACACAGAACTTCATCTACTGTGATTTCAGTCTTTTTCTATCCACCTATTCTATGTATACTATTGTGAAGTGTGGCAACTTGAGTTGATAAACTTGTTTGCAAGGTTCTACTTCGATTTCTTCTGTCTATTTGACCTAGGCAATAAGTAGGCCGTGGGTTCGAACCGCATTCCATCTACGGAAGTTTGTGCAGCTACACACATGTACATGAACGAAGTGTAGCTTATTGGACAATGAATAAAAAGGCATATAGTTGTTAAGAGAGAATTAATATTCAGGATATACTTCAATTGTCGTTTGTGAATTTTACTTATGACTCACTAGTAGAGAGTGTACAAGCTAAACTGAACCAACTCAGCAATCTACCACCTAAATAATAAAGTGTGCTTCGTTTTATTTTTGTTAAATAGCTTTATTTTCAAAGCAATAAAGTGTATACTCCAGTATGGCTATCGAAATCTTGTCATAAACGTGGGGGTTGTACATCGATGCTTGTTATCAAAGGACAATCAAATATCAACCTTCTATCTTGTGGTCGAACATATGGAGAAGTAAAGTATTGGTGTATTCAATCAACTGGTTCATTATATCTTCTGGGACAATTTTAGCATCTGATCATATGACATGGATTGAAAAGTTGTATCGTTCAGATGAAGATAAAATTTACGCCTTGGGATTTCAATCAGTAAGGATTTTTCTTTTCTTTTTTCATTATTTAAATAATATGTAAGTCTTTACCTCAACGCAGAACATTAACCATTGAGTCACGGGCTTAAATCTTGTTCCACTTACTTGAGGTATGGACAGTCAGGTGAGTGTCATTAGCCCTCCTACAATTTATTATTAGTCCCTTGGGTTCCTAATGGAACATAGGGCTTCAGTAGCACGTCTCCAGTGACCTCTGTTCTCTGAGATCTTTTGAACCTGGCTCCACGACAGCCCACAACCTCTCATTTCCTCCTCTCACGATCTCCTCCATGTCACCCTCGACAACGACGTCCAACTCGTCGCTTCCCATGGGGATTCCACTCGAGGGACTGGCTGGCCTGACGCGTGATGTCCCCAGTCGGTCTTCTCAGTGTATGCCCAATCCAATCCATCTCCACTTCCTCCTGCATATTTGTTGAGTGATAGGTTGTTGGTTGGTTCGTTGCCAGAGCTCGTTGTTGCTTATTCTTTCTGGCAATCCATCTAATCTTCAGTATCGAGCTAGCGTAATCAGTTGTTGATGAATGTGTGTAGTTTATTGGAAATCGCTTTCGTAACGCGCCAGGTCTCTGAACCATCACACAGAAGCACTGACTTGACTGAGGTTGGTGTTGAAAATCCTGATATTGGTCACGCCTTATGCTGAGTACAGAAGATCTCCACACTGGTTTGAGGTTAATGAATGCCTGTCTTGCTATCTTTCCGATCGTGGCTTTGACATCCTCATGTGTGTTGCCTGTAGTTGAAACAGTGCTTCCTAGATAGGTGAAGGAGGTTACTTCCTTTCTGCCGTTTCTTCCGTTGATGCTGATTGGAGTTTGTTGTTGTTGGAGTATCTTCATCACTTCTGTCTTCTCTATATTCACCTGAAGTCCCGTCTTCCTTGGCTGCCCTGCCTCTTCTGCGAACTTGTTAGTTTTTGCCTGTAGATCTTCTTTGAGTTTGTGTGACATCAGGCACAAGTGATCACTGGCGAAATCCAAATCTTCTGGGTTCTTTTTCGCAGTCCAGCCAGCGTATCTCCCTCTTCTTGCTCCCCACTGTTTGTTGCATGATCCATTGAAGTTGAGCACAATGAGGAATATCATGGGTGATAGTAGACGGCAACCTTGTTTCACTCCTGTCTTCACTTCAAAAGCATCACTGAGCTTCCCATTGTGAATTACTTGGCATGTGGCGTCTTCATATAGCCCTCTTACAATAGGTGAGGTTAATTACTTAGTTTATGAACGTACATGCAGTTGTTGAGTTATATTTCATTCGTTTGTTTCAACACTTCATATCCTGATATTGTATTGATTATAGTTTAGGTATCAGTGATCAAAACGTTAAAGCATCTTTAACTTGTATTATGTTGCTATGGTTGAATGGTATAAGTCTTTGATGAAATTTCAGTTGTTTGGTGGCAGTCGTCGTGAAACCCTGTTTAACCTATATTTCGTACTTGTTAGCACTTGTTAGCAAAGGGTAGCTTTAACTTCGAGGGAATTGATGTCCCCCTTTGAGATTCACACATGCACTACCCAGTGTTTTGAAGCTAGAGACGTTGCCACTGAGCTGTTCGCACTGTGGCGGTGAGCCTCTAAACTTGATAACCACCATTACACAATGATTGATAGAATTTGATCAGCAATCAGGACTAGGCAATATGAAATCAGTTGGTCTCCAGTGACTGATTAAGGTATAAACCTTCATTTTGAAGCTATTTCATTGAACTATTTCAACCGACTCGGCTTACTTTAATGTGTACACTTCGGTATCATCACCCAGTTTTACATTAATGAAATATATACTAGTGGCTCACGGACAGAAATGAGAATTGAATAAAAACGCGTTCACTTATTGCTGTTATATGTATACTTACGTTAGTAGTCTATCTTGTAAGATATAATATGTTGAATGTTTATAACATGTCGTCATTAATAGGTATAAGTTTATTTCCCTTTCGAGGTCTGTGGAGTTGTGGCTCATTGCTTTAGGGAAATAACTACCAACCAAGTGAGTCACGAGTTTGAACACATTTCTACCTGCTGAGATTTTAGGCAACCAGGTAGTTATATTATTGGTTACTGCCTACTGCACGGATGTGCACAAGGTTGCTTATCATCATCAGTATCAACATAGGACCAGGCGTTACTGCGTAACGGTCCGAGTTGCTACACCTCATCTCATATCAGTTCATCAAGTAACAAAGGCAGTGAGGTGCAAGATGAAGATAAGAGAATGCAGTCAGAAGAAATATAAAGTAGAGGAGAAAGAAAGGAAGAATGAGAAAGTGGTGAGATTCGGTATAGCGTTGTTGAGATGAGGATAATGTGTGTGTGTATACATCTGCACCACTGACATGGATTCTGAGCCATGTGATCACCTAGAGTCAGTCTCCAACCACTGGTTCCTCTTGTCCCGTGGATCCCAACCACCTAGTCTGCATTGTCCGACATGGCTGAAAGCAAGAGTCAGAGACTTCATACAGTGGTGGCATGTTTTAGTGTGGCCATGTGGAGCGTTTTTCCAGTCTGAAGCTAATTTGGCCAAGATTGTGTGATGAGGCAATGGGTGACGAGGCATAAGCAGGCATATGTAGTACGTGTCGCAGCCATGTGAATCGATGAAGGTTCATAACGTCGTCAAGTGATTTACCTCTACTCCTTAGAACTACAGAACTACAGCTGACTTGTGTGTTACTGACGTGGTGTGGTGACACCACGGAATACGGTCTATAATACGAAGGCGACGGCATTTACCCTACTTTTAAAACAATAGTTTATCTATTGTATAGCTCTGAAACTTATCATCTTTATGACTTACTAAAAATCTCCATGATTATTGTTCACCTACCACCACCACCACCATCACCACCCCATCACTTGATTGGTATTTATTGGTGTAGAGCCCAAAACACTCTCATTCCATATATTTTTATAAAAATAGTTCGAAATGTATAAAGCATTGATGGATCACATATTTCATAAAATATTCACCTCAAATGAACTAATTGTTTTCAAGTTGATGTACTCCCTTTTGTCTTTTTATTTTTAAAATTCTGTATAGAAATATTTCAAAGCAATTTCATTACATCATAACTACTTGAAAGATAATAATGATCAGTTGGATTGGTCATTAATCTGTCCATTACGCTCAAATGGTTGTTTTATTATCGATTGTTCTGGTGGTAATCATTATTGGGATTGGTTTCTACCTGATAGTAGAACATTAACACCTATAAACATAAACAAAGTCATCAATACTTATGAAGATTTCTTCTATAATCCTATAGATGTTGATAATGATAAAAGAAATTTATCAATGACAAATTTTACACCTTTATTTGCAAGTATTAATCGTGGTAAAGTTCTACTGCATACAGATACATACAATTGTATATCAGTATATGCGTTGGATAACCAATATTTTAAGCCTACTTATTTAAGTGTAAGTTTATTGAAATGTGTTGTTGATTTAAAGGTATTTATTGACCTAAAAGAAGTGTCTTCATTACAAGTTGATATCGGTTGAAGAAATATTGAAGATATTGAAACACTAACTAGCCATCTGTTTCGTCCTATTTTGAGACCCCTCAGGAGTGCGCACCCATGACCCTATTAGAGATAGAGTTCAGAGTTGTACACGAAACTCATTACCATTGAGCCATTGAGTTACAATCCAATTCCTAATATAAATAGGCCACCACGTAATATCATCTTTAGGTAGCCTTCTTTCTTCCAACTGAGTTGACCCCAGACAAGTCATAAGTTCTCACTAGAACTTTAAGAAATCCATTGCTGAAGCAAGTCAACGATGAGTACTGGTTGGTGAATTAGTTGTTGACTTGTGAGTATTTATTGACTTCAGGGTAGTTTTTATCATGGAAGGGGAGCCAGTGAATATTTGGGAGCATTTTATCACGCGTAAGTTAATTACAAGGGGTTCAAACCTATAGACTACTAGTTGGAAGTGTTGTAGGTAGGTATAAATGACGTGAGATGCATTGGTGTTGGGCTTGTTAGCGATGATATTTGAAGCAATCGAGTTAATAATAACACGAACGATTATAGTGCAATCTTATACTTGAACTGTGGATACCAACAGCGATTGTTCTCCCTCATCATAACTGTATACTTCACTGAGCCACGAAGATGAGAAGACAAAGACCAGAGTGTCTGTTATCGCAAGGAAGACAGTTTGTTGAAGAAAATGCATCATTTATATACAGTTTTCATGCATATATAAAACTACTAGGTGAAAAGTTGAATATTTATTGTGATTGGTGGACGAAATTGTCGAATAAGGTTATTCGTGACCACACAGTAACATGAAACAAAAGTAAAGATGAAAACTTTAAGCTTATCGACTGATGACTTAAAATGTTGGTTTCCATTTAGGTTGCTAATCAATATTACATTACATCTATCTCTCATGTTGCTGCTGTGAGGTATAGCTACTTGGGTAATAACTCAGTATTGCCAGGTCCTATATAGATATTGCCTGACGAACTAAAAAGTTATGTAACACTATTCTACCATAGAAAACGGCATTTTTGTCCATAACTTACTGATTTTTTATTGCTTATGAACGTGATTTAGACTTTCACATGGGTTTCCTGCTTGTTGGCATTCATTAGCAAGGTGTACCTTCAAACATGAGGAAAGTAGTATTCTCTTGACGATTAGGACCTATGTCAGTCAGTGATGAAGTCAGAAAATTGAACACTAAGTTGTTCGGGTTAGGACAGACTCCCTATAGAACTGATTTATGTCCGTGAATCGGTCACAAGTGGGTAACTAATGTAGTTGTCTAGCCTAGTACTGATTGATTCTGGTTCAAACTAACGAGAAAGAACGCCAGTTTTCTTATGGCTATAGAATTCGTTTTTCTAATGAGTGTTAATAAGCAAAACTAGGTCAAGCAGAGCTTCCTGCTGACTGACTCCTACTGAGGAAATAGAAGACAAACACGACGATAAGAATGTTTACTGTATGAAACTGGAACGGTAGTCGTTACACATGGGTACACCTTGCACTAACCCAGTCATTTGCAAATGTCTTCGTTTCCTCTTCTGTTCCTTTATTAATTTGCTCTGGATCTGCTCTTCATACATTCTTATCGGCAGCATCCACTGTAATATGCCTGCGTTGTTCCTTGCGTTGCTCTTGGCAGAAACGTTACCCATTGCTGGTAATTCCCTATGATTCCTGCCACTTTCTCAACATATACTACTTATATCCATTGTTATCAGCAACATCCACTACACTACTATCTAACACTGGCTTAAAGTGTACCACAGTGTCGTGTAGTTTTACCGCGACAGTACGAAAGTCGATCGATATACTTTGACTAACTCATGTACCTTAATGGAATGGTTTGTTGATTGCTTGTAAGCGCGTCATTTCACCTTCCATTGCTTATCATTTTACTTTGTATTGTTGCATATCGAATAAAGTTTTCATATCTTCATACAATTTTTCCTTTTGAAACATGCCTTTTAGCCATCACTTCATGGTCAAACAATTAATGCGTGTTTGCTACTGAACAAATTTGATGTACTCGGTGATGAAGGTAATTTCCAAGGTCAGTTTTCGACTATTCATTTGTCATATTTCTTTTAATGAGATGAGTGTGGTTATCATTTCCTTTCATTAATGTAGGTCTATTGATTCGCAAACATTTCAGTTAGGTGTATGAGTGGACTACTAGTTCTACTAATGGTTTTTTTGAGAGAGTAATCTACTTTTATTTATTGATGCTCAACCTTAAATAATCAGCGTTAGTCAGTAGTAACATCTGTGTACTACTGGACACTTGCCGTCAGTTGACGCTTCCAGACTATCCACACCATAGAAGACTAGTTCTTCTTGAAGTACCTGAAAAAAAGGGATGATGTGTGACCATAGAGCGAAATTGGCATCTACTTGAGGCTGGTCACACATGACCTTTTGGCAAATTTGAGATTTTGGATTTTTGCTTACGAAGTCGACCATCAATTTATGTTGCAGGTGTCCGCATGCTGCGACCGGGTAGGGTGTGCTGTTTTTGGGGCTGGCCTTTTCTAACCCGCCTTCTCCCATTGGGAAGGCAGCATCAACTTAACACTATTGGTCATCCAAGGTAAACACCTTACTGCTGTCACTCCGCATCTAGCTAGTAGCAGTTCGACTTCACCCTAAGACTTCCGTCATAGTGTTGTGATTCAAAGTACAACGTAACTGCTTTTAGTCTTACCAATATCCAACGAACCTTTCTGGCATGGTAGGATCTCGAGGGAACAAACGTTCCAGGAAGCATACTTGGTGGGGTGATCATGATATGCAAGCCCGACCACCACATCAAGGTAGCATCTATCGGTCAGGCAATAGTAACACGAAACGTAGAATTACTGTGTAACCGTTCAAGTTACTGCTATTCACATCGACAACTCAAGTTACAAAGCTCCTAGATGAGACGTAGAGAAATAGGCAAAAATGTCATCAAAAGTCAGACGATAGCAGCGAAGGAAAACTTTTCTTTTGGACGAAAGTTCTCCTCGCTGCATTCGTTTATGTTTTTTTCATAATCAACTATCGTGAAAAGTCATATGAAGAGAAGAGGAAGGATAAAGCTAGTAAAAGAATGTTATATAATAGTTAAGATGAACATGATATCCACAAAAAAAGTCAACGTAGAACTTCGCACGCACGTGCATCGGCTCAAGTTGCTACACTTCACAGTAGTATACAAAAAAACAGATGGATAGAAAAGGAATGATACCAAAGTAGATAAAGTTGTGTGAGAGAATAAACAATCTAGAGATAAAGGTTAGTACGAATATTTATATGTTAGCAAGAGTTCTGAACCACTGGTCCTTGTCATTTTGGAGACCCCAGCTACGAAGTCTACATCTCCTTACACGGCTCAGAAAAACAGTTGGGGACTTCATTGACTGGTAGCCAGCCATGTCTCACTCTGGCCACCTTGAAACCTCTTCCAATGTAATCCGACTTCCTCTAGCATTACACCTCGAGAAGGTGGTGGCTCGACAGTACATGTCCAAGCCACTTCAGTCGATGCAAGTTCACAACCTCACCGTGTGATTTATCTTCCTTACATGTTACCTTTCTTCTGACCTCTGCATTGTTCACACGGGAATTATGCCGAACGTCAGAAGCGCTACAAAGATCTGTAACGGCTTCATATCTTCCCATTTTAACGGCCATATCTCACTCAAAGCTGTATAAGGAAATGGGGTGGACTGCAGCGCAGTATACTCATCCTTCGATAGATAGTCAGGTATGTCGTCGACGCCAATGGTGACGTCAGTTCGTAAATGGCAACCGAACTTTTTTTTTATCCGAGCTGAGATGTCGTCAGAAACCAGCCCGTTTGGGTTAGTGCAACTCCCCAAGTAAGCAGCAGACCAGTTTTGTAGCCTTTTCTTACATTTGGCAGGTGCCAGCAAAACTGATGTCAAACATATTCAGATTTCTGACCAACGTGTTTGTATGACTCACCATTCTCCCAGCCTCGTCACCGAGTCAACCAGATGTTATGCAGGGAGTAGATCAGATGTAAAATGTATTTAAGGTTGTTTTCATCAGTACATTTATAACGAAGTTATACGCTACGCTAGTGAGGTTTATTTCAAGGCTTATATCCTAGAGTCTCCAAGCATCAATTTCAGTCATCATAATAGTGCGAATCCAGAAGTCTACATTTCCCTATATGGCTTAAGCTAATAGTCGGGGACCTCATTGGCTGAGTTTTCATTTTATTTTGACCTTTTTTCAGCTTCAGTCACTAATGCACGTCGAGTCAGTGAAGGTGAGTACCGTCATCAATTGCGTACCCACCTCTGATATAATATGTATATAGAGATACAGTAAGAGAGCATTGATTTGGTGAACAAAATTACAACAAGAGAGAGATTCCAACAGAACAACGTTCTGTCAGATTCGAACCAGTGACCACTGGCCGCGGTTCAAATTTTCATCTCACCTTCAATCATCATGCAGTATAAACATATATAGTTTTCTTGACTGTTTGAAATGGCCGTGGTTTAGGAGAGTAGTATTGATACTGGGGGATGATTGAAGGCGAAATGAGAATTTGTACTGTGGACGGATTCAAACCAGCGACCATTAAGTCTCTGATCCGGTGGTGTTCAGTCGGTAGAAACCCGGGTGTCGCTAAATCATCTTTTCGTATCAATATGTGTATTAAATATGGCATTTCCACTGAGTCTTATGGTAATTTAGTGGATTACCCTTTTATTTCCGCAGTTTTTTCATTAGTTACCCGGAAAGATGTTAGGTACTGGGCTGGTTCATAATTACAAGTACATTTTATACAGTTTTTGTGATCTAATTATGCCATTTAAGTGATGAAGATAAAAACTGCAAACGCGAATAATATTTAAATCCCGATTTAAACTACTTTAAGTAGTATCAATAATTTCATAGAATATTTTCAGTGTTCGTACTGTTCAGGACGTACAAAAGAATGAACAAGTCTCTACTTTCGTTCAAAACATGTCTCTCTTAGTAAAGATTTATTACGAATAGCAAAATTTAAGAAAAAAGAGATCTTGGTTACGTTTCATTGTGTGAACCTGGATGGTTTAATCGATATGCATATGACTTTAATCGTGGTCAAGCAAGACTATATCAAGAAGGCTAAGGAGATATACTCAAAGACGTGAAAGTATATCAACCACTTAAGGCTAATTATGTCTCAAAGTTTGACAAGCATATCACCAAAACTTTAAACAAAAAACTCGCCAAATTAGGGTAAACAAAAAAATGATTCTGAAATGAAACCCAATAAACCGGTTCTCCCTAGATTTTTATGACAGACCAATACTGCGTAAATCTGATATCTTTTTACGGACCAATAATCTCACTACTGGCGACTCCAACCTACAATCTTTCCTAGAACCTTTGGGGGAAAACTAAAATAGCTTGTGCAATCTTGAAAACATCCCATCAAATCATCGACAACCTTTAGGAAGGATTATGAAGGCATTCACATAGACAAGGATAAAATAAATATGCCATTTTATGTCGAACACATCAATTGAACAACAACTGGCTATGGCTACTATGTCTTTCCTTCTCCAGTAACAATGCAAGGCTTTCGGAACTCACAACTTTCTGATGGAGCTCACCATATGTCTAGTTTATTCATAAAACATACAAATAGATGAAGGTATCGTCACTGTTTGGAAGAATTGCAGAAGCAGTAAATAGAGCAAGCTGAAAACCATCATTTTACTTGTAGTCAAGCCGAAAATTTGGTTTCCTAAATAGATAATACTTTTTTTATCATTCCTCTTCCTCTTCCTCTTCCTCCTCCTCCTCCTCATCATCATCATCATCATCATCATGAAGATCAACATAGGACTACTTATTACTGCGTGACCATCCAAGTTGCCAAATCTTATAGCAGTTAAGATGAGGATAATATGTGTATACTCACAACGGTTCTGAGCCATGTGATCACCTAGAGTCTCCAACCACTGGTCCCTCTTGTCCCGCGGACTCCAACCGGCTAGTCAGCGTCGCCTTACATGGCTCAAATTAACAATCAAACACTTCATATATTGGTGGCATGTTTTAGTCTGACCACCTCGAGCCTTTTTCCAGCCTGAACCTACTTCGGTCAACATTATGTGACGGGGCAAATGGTGACTAGGCATACGTAACACATGTCACAACCAGCCATCTCAGTCGATGAAAGTTCACAACCGCATTAAGTATCTCACATCTACTGCCTGAAATTGTCTGTCTGACTTCTGCATTTCTTACTTGATGACACTAGGGAACACTGCCTATGCTGCATAGGAGACGTTGTTCAAACACCTGAGACCTTTTCATGTTTTTTATTTTTATGGGGACGTTTCACAGCCATAGGGTCGAAGAAAGCGAAGTGCAGCACAGTACACTCGACCTTTAATGGACAAAGGGATATGGTAGGGGTGTGACAGATGACATATGTTGGCTTTAGCCGACGGAATCTTTTGTATCTGTGGATAAATTTCGTCGACAGCTGAGCCGGCAGTTCTGATCCAACTTCTCAAGTAAGCAAAGTGTTCAGTGCACTCAACTACTTCAGCCTCTAGTGTTAACCAGGGTACCGTCGAAAACCAGACTTGGAGCAACAATTTACGTTTGGGTGGTGAGGAATGCATCCTAAACATTCTGAAATTGTCACTCAAGGTATCCAGAAGACCTCTGCATCTTGTCAGCGTCTTCACCGGACAGGACCTTGTCATCTGGATATTCTAATTCTAACGAAAATTCTCTTGCGATTAGGTCAACCTCTGTGTAATCAGATGATGAGAGGGAGACCTACATTAGGAAGTCTGTGAAAAATAAACAAGAATGGAGAATGTAGGCGTCCTTGACGAAGACCACTAGGCGTACACAACTCACATGACATTTCACCATAAGCTCTAACATACCCATATTACTTTATCATCAGTAATAGGGGTGAATAAGTAAATACTCGCAATTTGATCTAAAACATTTTCAACGTCATCAAATTCAAACTGCATAAGTAGTCGAACAACATATTCTTATTCATTATTATTTGTCCTGTGAGTCCCTAGTGGAACATAGAGATTCAGTAGCATGTTTCTATTGCACTCTCTTCTCTGCTGTCTTTTGAACCTGACTCCACCACTGCCTGGAATCTTTCATTTCTTCACACGATCTCCTTCATGTCACCGTTAGACATTCACTCGAGGGACTGGCCTGGCTTGTGGTGTTCCCGAATAGTCTTCTCAGTGTATGTCCGATCCAATCCATCTCCACTTTTCTCTGCATATTTGTTGAGCGATGAGCTCTTGGTTGATTCGTTGCCAGCCAGCCAGAATTCCTTGTTGCTTGTCCTTATTATTCTGGTTATCTGATCTTAAGTATCGAGCCAGCGTAGGCAACTGTTGATGAATGTCTGTAGTTTGTTGGAAGTGGTTTTCGTGACACTCCAAGTTCCCAAACCATGTAGAAGCACTGACTTACTTGACTGAATTAGTTTTGAAAATCCTGATCTCCTTCTTTATGGTGAGTGCAGTAGATCTCCACCCTGATTTCAGATTAATGAAAGCCTGTCTTGCTCTTCTGATCCTGGCTTTGACGTCCTCATCTGTGCCGCCACCGCCTGTAGTTGAAAGGATGTTGCCTAGGTAGATGGTAGGTAGGGTAGGTGAAAGAGACCAATTCGTTTAGGTTTCTCCCATTGATAGTGATTGGTGCTTGTTATTGATGTTGATTGGGTATCTTCATCACCTATGTCTTCTCTGCGTTCACCTGATGGAAGTCCCGTCTTCTCTATCCTTTCTCTTCTGCTAACTTGTTAGTTTTCGCCTATAGATTTTCGAGTTTGTGCGACATAAGACATTAGACATAAATCATTATCGACGAAATCCAAATCTTCTGGGGTCTTTTCATGGATCAAACAGCGTATGCCCCTCTTCTCTCCATTTCTGAATGTTTCAGTCAGTAGATCCAATCTCAGAAAGTTGGAAGTTGGAGGAAGACAGCGCGCGCTGACGAAGTTCTGAATTACAGTAGCAACAACGCACAAAACTACTCGCGTGCAGACCATATTTAAAAGAGCAAGAATTTAATGCTGAATAACAATTTCGCAAGAGGAAAGGAAGTAAATTACTTGATGTTTGCCCTATAGAATAACAATTACTGACGTAACTTCCTCAGGAAATACCTACACAGTTTATCATCAACTACAAAGTTATCTACAAAAAGGTGCAAATAAATCAACCTATCGTACATAAAGAATATATTAGAGATCACGACAAGGCTACTGAGATCATTTGGAATTGATATGGCTCATAAATCAGCAAATATCCTTCAAGTCTTATTTCTCAGACCAAAGGACTCAGTAGCCAGTGAAGGCAAACCAAATACGATTTTCAGAATAACAATTTGGATCAGTACTATATGATAAAAAGTGGCCTACGTCTTCTTCTTCACTTACCTGAGTATCAGTTGACCACTAAACGTCACAACATTTTGTCGCTCATATCAATACATTTAGATAACTATGGACATGAATTCTATGTTGAAAATGTAGAAATCGTGGACAGATAAAACAGATAGAATATCAGAGTATTCCTCTAGGCTTGGCATTCAGATCATTCGGTAATCCATAGTTGTGTAGAGATAATCTCAATCTATTAACCGATAAGAAGAGTGGTCAATGACTATAAAGTCAGAGGTCAGACGTGGAAAGGCCTAATAGTAAAACATATATAGTTCATGAATCAGTAACCAAGAAAAACGAGAAATCTCACACCACTTCGTTAGTGCTGATTGTGTTTTTTAGAAAAAACAATCAAAGCTTTACGATTAAACCTCTCATTTGAGTGAACTCAACACAGCCGAAATCATACAATCTGAGCTAAAAATCATTTTTTTATCATTTCCAAGTAGGCTATAATGAATTTGGGTCTTCTTGGTTGTATTGTGTTCTCTGAGCTGGTTTGTTTATTCATGAAACTTTCATCGTCTTGCTAGACGACATCATCAGCGGGATTAACTTCAGTATGAAGTGAGCTGTCAATATCTCTCCGTTAGTGAGTGATTTAGTAGCTTTCCAAGGTTCTAGACTTGGCATTCAGGTTAGTCAGCAATTAATAGATGTATAGACATAGACCCAACTTATCAACCAATGAGAAAAGTGATAAATGACGGAAAGGTCAGAGGTCAAGCAGAGGGAAAGCCGACAGGGAAATCTATTCAGTCAATGACACAACAGTCAGAGGAAACAACCAATCATAGACCACTTCGTCAAGGCAAGCCACTAAATCACTCACTCATGGAGAAATACTGACAGCTCACTTCATACTGAAGTTAGTGCTGATGATGATGTAGTCTAGAAGAAAGACAATGAAAGCTTCACGACTAAACAACCCAACTGAGAGAACACAATACAACCGAGACCATCCAACTGAGCTACAAGTATTCTCCAGTATTTTTAATTTGGGTCCGAACTCATGAATAACACAGAGTCAAGCATCGACCGAGGTATAACAATGTGGGAATAATTAGTTTTGGCAAGTTAACTAAGTATGAAAAGGATCGGAAAAATGTTTTATGCCGGTAATGAATATTGAGTAGATTATAAATAAGTTGTGTTATTAGTAAAGATGGATAGTGGCTAGCAGTTGAATCCAGGATGCTCATTTCGTTCTATTTAGGATTCATCAGCTGGATGTATCTGCCTCCCAGTGAGTGGTGTTGTTCCCATCGGGATTCGGACTCGGGGCGATCGCTTCAAACGCGAGAGCTTTACCCACTACACCACCGAGCCACGGTAGTCACTCTTTGTGCGACGGGTATAGTTTTAATGTTATTGCTTGTACCGTCGTTGATTGAACCGAAGTGGTCGGTCTCTGTTGGCAATATGGGCTCCTGTGCGAATGCCTCGGTATACCTGTGTTCTAGTTATAGTAAAGATGGATAGTGGCTAGCACAGGTATATCGAGGCATCCTCACAGGAGCCCACATGCCAACAGAGACTGATCACTTCGGTCCAATCAACAACGGTATAATACAAACAATAACATTAAGTTGTGTTATTGTTAATCAATTTGTCTTGTTGATGAATGCCGGGAGGTATGTGACCTAGGTCAAACAGGAGGGTCTACAGCTTGTCTCCGATCACTTAACATCGATTACGGATATGATCGGTACAATTCGGTCACCATTTAGGACTAGACAACATGAGATTGATTGCTCTTCAGTGATAAGTTAATGTACCTAATTCAGTCCTAGAGGAGGTTAGTTGCGGCCTGAATAACTTCCTGTTAACGTCATTGATTGGAGGACTAGGTGATGTAGGTTCGAATCCCACAGGTGAAATCAATCCCCTTGAGGTTGCTGGTACACACTAATTACGAATGCCAACAAGTAGGGAACCTGGGTGAAGCAATCCTTATCAATCGCCGTCAACCATTTGACATCACTTTTATGTGTTCATTATTAAAATTCTAAACTACCTGCTGTGATATCTAGAAAAAAGTTCAAAGTTGTCACTTAATATGTGTGTAATTATACTTTTGTTATTTTAGAGAATTCAAATAATAAAGAGAATAAATTGTACTGCTTAGCTGGTGGAGAGGATACAATGCTATCCAGTTGGATGATAACACTACCAGTGGTTGAAAATGAAGATAAATACACAAAAGGTACAGTAATTTGTTCTTTTGTCCCCTTTCCTCCTCACCAACTTCCCAATCTCAGAATAACTGGTTACTTATTAAGATTTTTTGTTGTTGCCAAAAGTTAATATTTCACATACTTATGTTATACAGTGCTTATACGATGTGTAATTTAGTTTACATTCATTTCTAGTATCTAAAGCTATTCCCCCCCCTTCTAGTTATTTCATAAAGGGTACTGGTAAAATCAGCTGATGAAATCTATTCTACTTGTCTACACTCATCGTCATTGTTGAGTTATATTGATGAACCATAGACAAGTTAACATCACCTTTAGCAAAGGTGGTTAGACATTACGACGAAAAAAAAGGAGTACTATTGAACAGGATAAGCTAAAAGAGAATATCATGCTAATGTTATAGCAAGTAATGAAATTTGAAGTATCTACCTCATTGAGTTAGGGAGATGATTTTCAACCAATGGGTCACGGGTTCAAGCCAGGTGGGTACTGTTGTGGTGGGCGTCGCTGATAAGAATGGATATAAGTAGTATATATTGAGAGAGTGGCAGAAATCGTAGGGTATTGCTGATAAGAATGTATGAAGAGTAAATCAAGAGAGAAGCAGAAGAGGAAACGAAGCACATTTTACAAGGTGTACCATATTTGACGACTACCGTCCCAATTGTTGACAATAAAAATTCCTTCCTTCGTATCTGTGTTCTTGCATCACTATCATTAACCCCTCACACAATAAGTGTGGCTCATTACCGCCTACTGAACGAATGTGCAGGTGGTTAGTGAGTGAATTTCGACTTCGATTCCATTCATTTGAAGTCATTAATCGCACGCTGCCTTCAAAAATATAGAAACTCACTGTTATTAACATGTATTTATTGTCTGATTGAACAATATGAATGTATAACTATTGGAACCTTAAGAAAATGATGTTCTGAAGAATGTTCTTTTATTGTTATTTGTTGACCTTTCGTTATTATAATGGATCGAATTCATCGACATCTGTTGGCATATTAGCTTCTATGCGGATGCGTCGATATTACTTGACTGTTTATTGTTATAAGTGACTAATAGGACGTAACTCGCGTTTCGTCCTATTTAGGGCTCATCAGCTAAAGGCACCTTCCTCTCAGTGGCTGATATCGTTTCCATTGGGCTGTGAACTTGGGACCGATCGCTATAAACGCCAAAGCATCTTACAAGAAGTGGCTATCGTGGCTTGGTGATCTAGTAAATAAGGCTCTGGTGTTCGAAGTGATAGTTCAAGTCTTACTAGGAATTACATCGCCTACTGGAAGACAGGTACTTCCAGCTGACAAGTCTCAAACAGGAAGAAACATGCCTTCTGGATTCCACTGCTAGTCACTATCCATGATTAATCTGTAATTGAAACACAGGCAATATCGGGGTATTCGCGTAGGAGCTCATATGCCAATATATAGAGACCGAGCAGTTCGGTCCACTCAACAACAGGACAATAATACAAGCAATAACATTTACAATGAATATCATTTCATTAATCTCTTATTATCATCTTTCCATCTTGTATAGAACCAATATTTCATCATCCTTTACACCATCGTGGTCATATATCAAGTATTCGGTGCATAACTATGCCTTTGATCTACGCTGATGATAATAATTCAACTTATCCAGTAATTTCTAGACGCTATATCATCAGCGCTGGTGGTCGTGGTCAGATATGTCTATGGCGTTTATTGTCATCATTAAATGAAGCGACAGGGACAACAAATCGAATAGGTGCATTCTCTGTCGGTTTCTTTGGTTCGAAAAAAATTCGACACAATGAATGCTATGTAGTTGATAATAACTCCGATGATGATGATGATGATGATGATGATGCAGATAAAGACAATAACTGTAATGATAAGACAAATTCTCAGTGTACAAAAGTCATTGTATCAAGTGATCTACGTGTTATGTCAATGGCATGTATTCAAACTGTTCAACAAGAATATCAAATGAATGATGATTTACTGGTTATTGCCGGTTGTTCTGATGGATATGTTCGGTAATTCATTTGAATTTTTTTTTTATCTTTGTTTGTAACTGAATTAAACATAAATGTCGGTTTTATCAGTGAGAAACAAAAAGACGTCACAGCTAAGATAATTGACCTTTCTACGACTTATTTTTAATTTACAGGTTTAAGAGGGATTGGAAAAGCAAGATAGGCTTTCATTAATCTGAAATAATCAGTGTGGAGATCTACTCCACTCAGCATAGATCGTGAACAACATCCGGAGTTTCAACACCAATATTAGTCAAGTCAGTGCTGCTATATGGTCGAGAAACGTGGAGCGTTATGAAAAGCACTTCCAACAAACTACAGACATTCATCATCATTCATCAATCATCATCCAGTACTGATACTAATCTGCCAAACCATGGCCTCTATCTCAGATAGTCAAAAGGATAATCAATATAATGCTCCCCCTCTCTAATTCAATTAGATTCGGATTGGGATGAAAAGCCCTGACTAGGCAGCAGCCAGTGTGAATACGATCAAGTGGTAGTAACGCGTCATGAATTCACATGGTAGTCGGGCGAAACCCGCCTTGGTGATTGAAGTGAAATAAAACTCTGGTCAGCATTTGGACCTCGTAGTTGAGGTGGTAGAGCATCGGGACAGTAGTCCGGTGGTCGCTGGTTCGAATCCGGCCTTCAATCATCACCCAGTATAAAATACTAGTCTACCAAACTACGGCTATCTTAGATTATAAATCATGAAAAAAATACAAAATAAAATGTGAACAGAGGTGTAGATTACCTAATTAAGGCCATAGTAAAGAGTGTATGTGTTCCTGTTTCTTTCGAATGCACAGTTGAAGTTTGAGGTTGTGATAGCTAAAGCTTCAGTTGCACATAAGTGTCTAATCCTAACCCTCTTTGAAACGCTTTGATCAAACTTTGTAGCAAACTTTGAAAGAGATAGTTGGAGGAGCCAGATGTTCAACAATGAAGCTGGAGATGCTTTTGTGCTCATCCTTCAGTATTATTATTATTTTTCCCTTGGGTTACTAGTGAAAAATAGGGCTTCAGTAGCACCTCTCCATTCCACTCTGCTCTCTGCAATCTTTTCAACCTGGCGCCACGATTGCCCCTCAACCTTATATTTCTTCACATGATCTCCATGTCGCTCTTGCCTCGGATGCCCAACTCATTGTTTCCTATCTGGATTCCACTCGAGGGCGTGGTGCGTGATGTCTCCAGTTGGCCTTCTCACTCTATGTCCAATACAATCCATCTCCACTATCTTCTACTGCATATTTGTTTGGTGATAGGTTATTGGTTAGTTCGTTCCCAGCCAGCCAGCCAGTCAGAGTTCCTTGTTGCTTATTCTCATTATTCTGGCCATGTGATCTTCTTTATCGAGTGAGCGTAGGCGACAGCTGTTGATATGATGAGTGTCTGTAGTTTGTTGGAAGTGCTTTTCATAACGCTCCACGTTTCTCGACCGTATAGCAGCACTGACTTGACTAACATTGGTGTTGAAAATCCGGATGTTGTTCACGATTTACGCTGAGTGGAGTAGATCTCCACACTGATTATTTCAGATTAATGAAAGTCTATCTTGCTTTTCCTATCCTGGTTTTGAAATCCTCATGTGTGTTGCCTGTAGTTGAACCGATGCTGCCTTGTCTAGATAGGTGAAAGAGACCACTTCCTTCAGGTTTCTCCCGTTGATTGTGATTAGTGCTTGTTGTTGATTGGGTCTCTTCATCACCTCCGTCTTCTCTACATTCACTTGAAGTCCCGTTTTCGCTGCCCTGTCTCTTCTGTCAACTTGTTAGTTTTCGCCTGTGTACCTTTTAGTTTGTGCGGTATTAGGCATAAATCATCATCGGCGAAATCCAAATCTCCTAGGCTTTTTTCATCGGTCCAGCCGGCGTATGCCCATCTTCTTGCTCCTCACGGTTTGCTGAATAATGTTCACTACCGCGTACTACGGCCTATGTAATAAACTTGTAAATGCGCATTAATTAGGATCAACGCACCAGCTTGTATATTTCACGCACTAACAAACCAATCGTTGATATGAGAGAACAATACTGAGTTTCTAGGCATAGAGTGTTCTACTTTGGGACTTTGAAAAACGTTGACGAAGGATGTCCAAAGCTATATCACCTTTGGATCTAAGGTTCATTAAAAGTGTTCTCTTTGGAGCTACCTGGATCTGTCCCATAGTCTTCTTTTCTTCCATATTACTGTCTATCAATCTGAATGGGTAACCGTTGTCTAACAGTATTTCTCGGAGTGTGTCTAACCTCTTGAACAAGTATATAACTCTTGCACATCTTTCTTATTCTTGATGAGACAGCGCACAAGATTCCTCTTCCTGTTTACAGCTAATCAACTTGAAAGTTGGTCAGTTACCCATTCCAAGTGGGCTTTCTGTAGATAGACCTTTGACCAGAATTATCAGCCCTTCTTTGAAGTTTCATATCGAGGAAGTGAAGGAGGTGTTTCACGTCCAGATTGTCTTCACACACAACAAAGATAACACCCATGAATCTTTTGTATATATGAAGTTGACTGATTGTTGAGAGCAGTGTACTGTTCTCAGGGTTGATGATGAAGCAGTCGGCAAATAGACGTCAAAGAGTAGGGCTGTGTCTCAGTGGTTTAAGAAGATGACTAACAACCACTGGGTCATGGGTTCGAACCCCGCTCCACCAGCATAAGTTTAGGCAGCCAGGTAGTCTCACTAGCCATAACACAAAATAGGTGTTTCATTGCCGAGTTCACGGATGTGGACAAGGTTACGGAGTGCATTACATTACATTGTAGAGGTCGAAGAGGCGGTCCCACTGTCATACCATTAATTTGGCTGTAGATCCCGTTCTTTCAAGCAGTAGTTTGGTAGAAAACTATGTAGTCAAGCTGTAAATGCCTATACTACACACTAATGACACAAATAAGGGAACTAGCTGTCTTTTTATGCCACCTGTACTACTTTATAGACTTGTTTTACATCCTAATTTCTCCGATGGATTCGGGGTTGTTAAAAAGAAAACTCTTGGTGATCTGGATGAAAACCGGTCACAGTGGCGCAGATATCTACACTGTTTGTCTTCTTCCACGTCTGTTTATCCTCTCTTCTCGCGTACAGTTTCGTCTACTCTAATATCACTCCTTTTCTCTCCCCTTCTTGATAGCATATTGTTGTAGGTCGTGATAACTTGAATTGAAGCACTTTTGTGCCTGATTCTACGTTGATAGTTATGCTCTGTCTAGGCTGACTGCCTAAAACTTGCACCATTCTGATTCAGTAAATAATTTAATGAACAAACAATATTTCTCTCTTTTATCTCATCTTTGACAATTATTTATCCGTATTATATTGAAACCAGTCGCTAGTTTCGAATAGTCCGGGAATTCACGTCGGGAAAGACTTATGTGAAAAACAGTGTCAGGATCAAATATCACTGGAATTTACTGCGAAATGATTGATTATTTAGACGACAGTGTTTAAGATCTTAGGCTGTATAATCATTAAGCGCCTAAGTGAAGCTTGCGAACAGTGAACCTGTGAGAAACAAACAGGTTTTTCAGACCTGGCCGTGGCTATGTCCTACTAGATACCCGTTCTTCAGTGTGTTCTGGAACACAGGTAGGCTTACTGATGCCAGACGCTGGTTGTACTTCTCGACCTGAAGGTGACATTCTACCACATCGATATAGAGGTTTTATGGCTGTGTTTCTCACCTAAAGGTGTGTCGAGTAAGCACATCACTCTATTGAAGGCCCTGAATAGCGTTTATTCGAACATCTATGGGTGTGTTGGAGCCTATGGTGAGTTATCATGTGAGTCATATATATCGAGTGGTGTCTACCAAGGATTTCCACCCTCTCCGTTCTTATTTAATTTTATGATAGAAGTGCCTGTAAGAATCTTTTGACAGGAAACTTCTTAGTAGAAGTAGTGTCCAAATGACGTAATTCCGCTAGGTAAAGTTGCTGATAAGATGCAGAGTCTTCTTGACACCTTGAGTGGTAATTTAAAAATGTTTGGGATGCATTTCTCACCACCCAAGTGCAAATTGTCTTTCTAGGACTGGTTTTCACTGTTGCTTTGTTTAACAGTAGAGAGTAAACTGATTGTACTTATTGACCACTTCACTAACTTTAGAGGTGGGATCAGACTTGGTGGGTTGGTGGCTGACCGACGAAATCTCCGCAAGAATATGAAAGGTTTGGTTGGTCTTCGCCAACTTAAGCCATCTGTAGCGCCATCGTGATATCTGATAGCTTATTAATGGTCGAGTGTACTTTGCTTTAGTCCTCTCTGTTCTACCATGCGGTTGTGAAACACGCTCACTGAAGGCAGAGGTTTTTAGGAGGCTTCACGTACTTGACCACTATTGCCTTCGTAACATAGACCGCAGAATTCAGGTGTAGAGTTTCAGAGAGGAGAGGAAAGTCAGTTGATTTGGTTATGAACTTCCGTTGTCTGAAATATCTTGGACATGTGTTACGCGCATGTCTACTCCCTCTCTAACTTCTCCGTTTTTAATATCAGCTGAAGTAGTCTGAAGATTGAAGCCAGTCAGACTGAAAGATGGTGCCAAGCCCTAAAGTTTTTAATTGTCCATCTTAGCAGCGTAGAGGACTAGTTGAGGTTTGTATGGTAACTGAAGTCGCTGGTTGCAGACTGTATAGAGGTATGGCTCAATCGATGTTAGGGACATAGTGTTGTGTCCACAAACGATCATCATTTCAATCGTCATACCGAGTCTCAATATCGTTTCATTTCTTCTCGGTTTATTTTGACGTCTTTCTATGACTTTGTCTGTTCTCTTCATTATTTCTTTATTGGCATCATCTGGCTTGATATTGTTTTGTGGTGTGTAATATCAGGTCCCACACTGTTGCCAACTGAAGTGTTTCACTGTTTTTGTACGGTAGAAATCAATTATTTCAGAAAGTTGTATTCATCTTGGGGACTGACAGTGGAATCCAGGACATGCATTTCTTCCTATTTGGGACTCGTCAGTTGGATGCACCCGGAATAGTTTGCAACCAAGAGTATTAACGATTCACCACCCGTTGATTTGTTCAAACCATCTTTCTGCCTACCGATTTTAATGAAATGGATATTCAACTTAATTTTTTGCAGATTAATTCATATCCAAGTCCCATCTGGAGGGGATACTAGGTATCCGAAGTTTTCTGAAATTGGTCAGATTAAGCCAACATCAATCACCAATCGATTAGACAGTTGCATCAGTTGCTGTTTAGATTTGACGCTTCTATACATTACTTCCAGTCATATTTGTTTTGCTGTTACAACTTCTCGTGGAGAATTACATGGATGGATTGTACGCTGGAATCCATTGGTCAGTTATAATGTTGCTGCTGAGAAATGTAACTTTGAAGTATATACTTGTAATCATGAGAATTGTATTGACAATATATTTGGCCTTCATCTTGAGTGTGCTCATCATTGGCTTTTAAACTGTGCACCGATTCCACCTTTTCATGTAGAAAACCAATTAGCCTTCAATTGTATAACTTTGTTGAGTACAAAGGATAATCTAAGCCTTATTGATGGAACATCTACGATTGTCGTAGTTGGCGCAGACGATGGTAGTGTACGTGTGGCTGTAGTTCCTGTAACTACTATCAATCAATCTTCATCTAATCCATATTGGTCTGTATCCTGTGTAAAACATTTTAGCAGTGTTATCAAATTGGCAACCTGCCCTCATTCACAATCATATAGTCAATTCATTTATCATTTTCTAAGTGTAGCTTCAGATCAACGCTTAATACTTTGGCGATTGGATACAATTCCTGAAACAACATCATATCATTTTCAATTATGTCCAATGCAGTGTATTTTATTATGTGGTTTAGGTGAACCTCATTGTTTATCAGTATTATGTACAAATCCTCGAAGTCATCATATTACGAAGAAGGAAGATGATGAAGATGCTCATGCTCATGCCCTAGTTGTTGGCACCGGTGCTTATATAATTCGTGTGTTCTAGTGGAACTGGAAATAATCATGTATTTTTAAAGATTATTTTGTATACTTTGTAATATAGAATACTGCAAATATAGTGTTGAACTCCTACTATTGTCTTTTGCTTGCCTTGCCTGCCTGCCTGCATTCCAGCTAGATATATGAGTTTTCTTAATATAGGCGTAAAACTTGGGCACTGTAGTCGATTGTAATTCGATTTTAGTCTGTTTACTGAAAATGTCACACAGTGAAGCAACAATCTCATTAACTGGATAACGTTTCGGACACAATTTATTGTCCCATATTCATGTCAGGTAACCAACTTCATAACTTTGACATAGAGTTTATATAGTCCTAATTTCCTGCCTTTCTTTATGATGACAAGGGTAGTAGAATTTTCCATATATCTGGGACAGATGCAGAAACACTTCTATAACTGTATGTATTTGATGTTGATTCGAGAAACAAAGATTCAGTTGGTTATTAATCTCTCTGCCTCCACCTAAGTTTTTAACACTGCTGCTTTATCCCACCCTACTGCGTGATTGTGTATAGTCGCGTGCACAGCTATAGATGACCTCTTCTCCAAATTTCTTATCTTATTAGGATCTTACTCATTTTGATTTAGCTTAGATTTTGTGCTCTGTTATTCTAATCGACCCTGGCTAGTCGACTTCTTTTGAAAGAAACAAGAAGATAGGTGTGCAGGAGGAAGGACCAGGCATTACTGCGTAACGGTCCGGGTTGCCACAGCTCAGTACAGTACATTAAGTAGAAAGGTAGTGAGGCGAAGGATGAACGTCAGAGAATGCAGTTAAAAAAAATATGAAGTACGAGAAGAAAGAAAGGAAGAATGAGAAAGTGGTGAGATTCGGTATAGCTTCATTAAGATGACGATAATGTGTGTATACATCTGCACCACTGACATGGATTCTGAGCCATGTGATCACCTAGAGTCAGTCTCCAACCACTAGTTTCTCTTGTCCCGTGGATCCCAACCACCTAGTCTGCATCGTCCGACATGGCTGAAAGCAAGAGTCAGAGACTTCATACAGTGGTGGCATGTTTTAGTGTGGCCACGTCGAGCGTTTTTCCAGTCTCAAGCTAATTTGGCCAAGATTGTGTGATGAGGCAATGGGTGACGAGGCATAGACAGGCATATGTAGTACGTGTCGCAACCATGTGAATCGATGAAGGTTCATAACGTCGTCAAGTGATTTACCTCTACTCCTTAGAATTGTACAGCTGACTTGTGTGTTACTGACGTGGTGTGGTGACACCACGGAATACGGTCTATACTTCGAAGGCGATGGTGGTGGAACACTTGAAGCCAGCGTTCTCATGTCTTCCACGTTGAATGGTCATGTTTGACAGGCATAGAGTAGAATAGAGTGGAGTGTTGTGCAGGTGGAGTACATGCGACCCTTATTAGACAATGGGATATGATGGCGGCGCCATGGGTGGCATAAGTTGATGAAAGCCAATCAAGCCTTTTGTATCCGTGCTTGTTTCGAAGCAAGTTACTTGGTTTCAATGCCAATGTAATCCCAGGCAGGCTTGTTGAGAATTATTCGTTATGCTTGTAAGGTGCCTCCCTTATATGTTAACACGTCAGAGGCTCTGAATTCCCGCTCTACCCTGTCAACATCATTACTATTCGCAGTTGAATTATTGATAATAACACCTGTTTTACTACTACTACTACTACCACCGCTAATATTTTTCTTATGATTTCTTATGAATTTATTTATAAATTGACGTGGGTAATTATTGAGACGTAGGGTATTCTTGATATGTCTAATTTCTTGTCGTAGATTTTCGGGTGTATTAGTAAGCTTTTTCGCCCTATCACTTAGGCATTTAACTAAGCTTACTTTAACTGAAATAAGGTGGGAGGACTTGAAGTCGAAGTAGGGATTCGAATGGGTAGGTTTCCTATAGACAGTTTCTGAACTTCCATCTTGTGGTCGTTTAATCTTACAATTCAACATTGATAGCTCACCTTCTTCACTTTCTAAGTCACAGGCTTTTTTGTTTTGGCTGTATGCGCATGGCTATGGGTGATTTGTTATCTTAGTAGGTTCCATGAATGTTGACTTAGCTGGGTTCCTATTTTCTGTCAGTCTAGCTGACCCTGATCTGCTAGTTTGAACTATGTACAGTCGTTATAAGATATTTGGTAAATTAAATTATTTTAACTAACGAAATATACCCATTTATTCATGAATAAGAACTAATATTAAGATGTACTCTTAATGTACAGTTTAGATTCAGTGATATAATTTATAATCAGATGGATGGAGTCGCAATGGGGTCTCCACTAGGCCATATCCTGGCTGATGTTTTTTGGCGAAGCTCGGAAACGGGCCCCTTGAAGAAATAATTTCGGATTTTATTTGTATAGAAGGTACATCGACGAAATGTTTCTTATTTGCAACGAAATATGTTCAATGGACGAGCTGCTAAGACACTTCAATGATTGTCACCCGTCCATTAAATTCACTGAAGAGGAAGAGTTAAACTCAATGTTTCACTTTCTAGATGTAACGTTAACAAGAAGGGATGATTGCTCCATTCAAAGGTCAGTCTATCTAAAACCGACCTAGACCGGCCAGTTCACTAACTTTAATAATTAAGTACCTCTTAGTTGTAAGAAAAATCTCATTCACTCACTGTGTTCCAGAATCTATGGAATATATTCAGAAGATACGGGGGATGCTGAAATCGAAACTCTTAGAATAATACTATATAATAATGGATATCCTAAAAGATTTATTGATAAGAATCTGAAGAAACGAATCACTCCCCATCCGATTACAATCCCTGAGGAAATCTTAACCACGAATCTAGGATTCAAAGGAGACACCACAGCCGAAGTGCTGAAAAATTGTCTGTCAAGGTGTATCAATAGTAGCCTTCTATGCTGCTAGACCGAGATTGGTATTCTCCAGCCGCCGTCTAATTCGTCAATGCGTGAAGTATAGGCTTCCACTTATGTCCACATCTATGTGTATCTACAAGTTCACATGCTCCTGTGGAGCTGACTATATTGGACGTTGTAAGCGGGCCCTCCGAAAACATGTTTCTGAACACTACCCGGTCTGGCTTACCAGAGGTGAGCAAAGGAGAACGAATTCATCCATATGTGAACACCTTGTTGAATTGGGACATTCAGCACCTCGAAATTTATCCTTTTGAAATGATTTACAAAGTTAAATTGAACTACTTTAAAGGGTTTACGTTTCCATCACTTAGGCATAACTGAAGCATTACCACCCATACATGAACAAAAACCGAAACGTTGTATTGAAAAACGTTTTGTGAAACCATTTTCTCTACCTTGGCCTTAACAATTCATTTTGGTTATTTTATCAATTTCATTTTACTTCACTTTGGTACATATCTCTTTTATTATTATCATCATTATCACCAATTTTTCACTTCATTGACAATATTTGACCCATATTTCACCATTTAATATCAATTCATTCCTTATTCATCGACCTATTTTGCATGCTTCAGCTAAATTATCACCGTTTTACAATACCTTGACAGCACTTGTCTCTTATCTCACCACTTGTTATCAATTCGTTCCTCCTTATTCAGTGACCCATTTTCTATCTCTTCCACTTGAACAAATACCACCATCTAAACCTATTGTATATTTAGCATATTGACTAGGCAAGTGTTTAGGTGCAATTATCTGTCATTCTGTTACTATTATTATTTGTCCCTTGGGTTCCCAATGGAACATAGGGATTCAGTAGCACGTCTCCATTCCACTCTCTTCGCTATAATCTTTTTAACCTGGCTTCAAGACAGCTCAGAAGCTCTCATTTCCTCCTCGCACGATCTCCTCCATGTCACCCTCGACTCAGACGCCCAACTCGTCGCTTCCCATCTGGGTTCCACTCGAGGGACTGGCCTGACGCGTGATGTCCCCGAAAGGTCCTCTCAGTGCATGCCCAATCCAATTCATCTCCACTTCCTTCTACTGCATATTTGTTGGGTGGTAGGTTCATGGTTAGTTCGTTCCCAGAGTTCCTTGTTGCTTATTCTTATTATTCTGGCCATCTGATCTTCAGTATATGGCGAGTGTAGGCAGTTGTTGATGAATGTGTGTAGTTTATTGGAAATGCCTTTCGTAACGCGCCAAGTTTCTGAACCATACAGGAGCACTGACTTGACGTTGGCGTTGGTGTTGGGAATCTGAATCCTGTTCCACATGCCGAGTGAAGATCTCCACACTGGTTTCAGGCTAACTAACGCCTGTCTTGCTGTCTTCCCGATCCTGACTTTGACATCCTCTGTCATTCTACCGAGTATAAATACTACTGTACAGCTTTGATAATGAAGTCGTTGACAGGAAATATTTCTTCGCTGTTGCATATCTTGTTAAATTATTTTGTTGAATTAGGTCTGCACAATCGTTAAGCCAATTAACCTGTCTATCAGAGAGTTTATCGATGTGGATGTCACTCTAATCATTGGGTTGAGAATTCTGCTTAACGTTTCCGACGTTCTTTCTTTATATGGCAATATTATAGAGGCCCTGAATTCCTTCTTTGTTGTGTTACAGTCATCGTTCATATCATTATGTCTCCTTCTTTATGCATCTCTTCTAAGAAATTGTCTCCTTTAGAAGATAGTTTAATAAATAGTAACATTTTTGAAGCCATAAGAAATGCTGTCTCACGTTGTCTACTTTTCGGATACTTATTGACAAACCCTTCAGTATATAGCCATTTTTTTAATCTAAGATATAATTTAGTGTTTTTATTTCATAACCAGTAGTACTGTCAGAGCAGATTTTTATTCCTCTATCAAATAGGGTTTTGATTAACAAAACTTGTGATGTGGAGATATTGTCCAGACCATGAAGAGTTTCTGTAGATAGATTCATCATTCCTTTTTACTAAGGAAACATCTAGGAAGTTGATATGATCATTTTCATCATCTTCAACTGTGAAGTTGAGTCCTACTGAAACTTATGAATTGAATAAATCCTGCTTTATTTATATTTAT